GCCCTCATTTCCGAGTGCTTAGCTGGTTCATTGTTGGGATAATATTAAAAACTAAACGTATATTCCTTATTGGGTTTAAGTACCCTTAAAAAATGTAAGATGTTACCCAACTATGACAAAATTAGTACTAGGGAGCCCAATACCCCTTAACTGCCTTAACCGTAAATTATGATGTGAGTTACGGCATGTTCCTACACCCTAAACCCGAAACCCTAAAACCCGGAAATAAAGGGTTAAGGGGTATTGGTATCTCGATGACCTCCAAGCATTGTAACGGTCGCTTGGGCTCGCGGCCCAGACGTTGACATTTCTACTTGGGCAATTCCCTAAGCTTTGGTGCCTCTTTGGACTCATACAATGCGGCATCCTTGTAGAAAGGACTCCCAAAAAGGACCCCCCCTCTTGGTAGAATACTGAGCACGACTTCATCTAGGAATCAGGGTTTGCGGGGTTGTTCTGGTAACCGCCTAGCTGGACTGAATGGCGCACCGGGGGGTTTCAGACTTGGGGGGCTTGAGTAGGGTTTAGGGTTTAGGGTTTAGGGTTTAGGGTTTAGGGTGTAGGGTAGATGCTTGAGTCTAGATGCCAAGCCCCTCTTGCCACTGGACACCAAATCCAGGGTTCCAAGTTGGGCCCTTGATTTGGGTATACACGCTGATAAGGGCCCATGCGGGTTTCGGGTTTCGGGGTTTTGGGGTTCAGGGTGTCTTTCGTTGAGGCCCTGGCCCACTCCACATAGCACGGGAAGAGCCCACCTTCGCAAATGGGCGGAATTTGATGTTCCCTCAACCCTCTGGCATCTTCCCAGAACCCTGACCCCTTCAGAGACCTGTAGTGTTTCTGGGCGCACCCTAAACCCTAAACCCTAAACCCTGTAGTGTTTCTGGGCGCCTCATGTCTCATTAGAAGAGGCAACTTTTCACCGAGGGCAAATTTGTTCAGCTCAAGCCAGTGCTGTGTCGGGGCAGTCCCATCTTGATTTGGTTTCTCCCTAAACCAAAAACCCTAAACCCTAAACCCGAAACCCCAAACCCTAAACCCTAAACCCTAAAGCCCCTGAGCCCACGGCATTTCCACAGCTCATCCAGGCTTTTGAGCTCCTCCCCAACGGAGCACCCCAAGGGGCTAAACCCCCCTAAACCCTAAACCCTAAACCCTAAACCCTAAACCCTAAACCCTCAACCCTAATTCAGATGAGGACCCATGTAAGGGACGAGCCCGAGTTCATGTGGGCACCCTGATAGAGTCTATGATGTATTCACATGAGGACCCCCTGGCGTGACTTAGGGCTTAGAGGTTTAGGGGTTTTTTGGCACCCGCATAGCCGGACGAACGGTTTAGGGCTTAGGGTTTAGGACCTTCTTAGCCCGGAAGCAATAAGGCCGTCCTAAGTCTTTCGACACTTGAATCTTGAACCCTAAACCCCAAACCACAATCTGAAGCACAAGACTCCTAGATTCCCAAACCCCAAAACTCCCTAAACCCGAAACCCTTTTTGCTCAACCCTAAACCCTAAACCCTGAAACCCAAATACCCCGAACGGCAAGGGCACGGGAAAATGTGGAGTCCTCTTCCACCCCCGGCGTCTGGACCTTGAGTTTGTAAATGCCCAGCCTGAACTCACAGGGCGTCTCATACTCGCGGGTGTGTGTGTGTGTACATATACGCATATGTGCATATATATATATATACATATGTACATATATCTAGCATATATATACCTGTATGCATATTTGCTACATCTTCACACATATTACATACATACATGCATGCATGCATACATACAGACATACATACATACATACAGACATACATACATATGTATATATATATACAGTTCAACTTATTTGTACATGTGTTTTATACAGATGTTTCTCATGTATTTGACGGTCGGTAAAACTCCACTTTCAAGGTCTTAGCTCTACTAGCTTCTTGTGAGGCACTTAACAGAACAAGCTCTCGTAACAAGGGCGCTCTATATCACCCTGTGATGTGGCAACTGAACGTACACTCCCGCAACAAGAGCCCAGTCTGGGCTCTATACCCCCTAAAGCCAATCTCCCTGCGGCACAAAGTAAAGCAGCACTCTTCGAAGGCTTGCTAAGGCTAACCTCCTGCCCTGTAGGAAAAAACTCATCGCGGTCCTGGAAAAACAACCCAACCAAAAGGAAATGTTAGTTTTTTCAAGAACGGTCTAATTGGTAAGACATGGCGAGTATCACAGCAGCGTCACGGGGCTGAAGCTAGGCGGCGCACTTCCAGCCTTGTTGCTCCTGGAATTTCCGGCTCTTGGCGGAACATGTTTTACTTCAACCCTCGCACCCTCCGCAATATCTTTTGTGCCCCGAAGCCCTGACCCTAAACCCTAAAACCCTAAACCCTAAACCCTAAACCCTAAACCCTAAACCCTAACCCCTAATTTGGGGTGTAAGTTCTGGCGCTTCGACACTACGGGGGGTCTTCGCGGGTCTTTCCATCGTATGACTTTGGCTACCCAGCTCCGAAAACTAAGGACCTCGCCACGGTCCTGTTCTTCTATGCTGCGGGGGGCAGGGCACGCGAAACCCTGCACAGATAGCCGGAGAACCCTTAGATGATGATTCGTAGAATGCATTGACAAGCCTCTTCTTGTGGAACTGCGACTGGGTTGCTGTACAAATCCACTAGGTCCTGGCTGCACCAGCTGTCCATCAAGCTGCTTGCATCCAGGCGTTTTACAGAAGGCCCAGGGTCAACAACAGCGAATGCCGCTGTGACAGGCGGGCCTTAAACCAAGCCTTAAACACTCCGGGCACGGACAGGGCGTGGCTCTTCAAAACAGCTTTCCGGGCAGCTCTGTTATGCGGAGAGTCCATGCTATACTCACTACGCAGCGCGCCCACTCTCATGCCGGAACGGAACTTGCTTCAAAAATTGCAAACTCTCGCAGACACATTTTGCAATGCAGCCGATGACATCCCCTCAACATGCATTGGAATACCTCGAAGCTCTAAACTCCAATAAAACCCGAAGATCATAGTTCGCGCGACGCGGGCGCGACGTCACCAACTGTCATGTACCGGTCGCGGTGCAAGGTCATTTTGAGAGATATCGCACGATGGAACTATCGTTCTGCTCTGCTGCGCACGGCCGCTTCTTTCGATTCCTCTTCGAGTGCGAAACCCAACCCCAAATCCTCGAGGCCATGCCAACTGATGCCATATCAAGCCAAACTAAACCCTAAACCCTAAACCCTAAACCCTAAACCCTAAACCCTAAACCCTAAACCCTAAACCCTAAACCCTAAACCCTAAACCCTAAACCCTCCCTAAACCCAAGAAGATCGGAAAGCAGAGGCCAGAGAGCCGTATGTTTTCCAGCCTCGAACGCCGCTCGACGAGCGAGCCGGGAACCGGCTCCCGCGCAGGTGGCTACAATGTACTTTCACAAGGATCCTCGGGTTCTAAGCAGGGAGGGAATTCGGGGTTTAGGGTTTAGGGTTTAGGGTTTAGGGTTTAGGGTTTAGGGTTTAGGGTTTAGGGTTTAGGGTTTAGGGTTTAGGGTTTAGGGTTTAAATTAGGGTTCAGGGTTCAGGGTTCAGGGTTCAGGGTTCAGGGTTTAGGGTTTAGGGTTTAGGGTTTAGGGTTTAGGGTTTTGGGTTTAGGGTTTAGGGTTTAGGGTCCCCTGTAGAATCCCTAAACTGGGCGACTAGGGCGACATAAAAGGAGGAAGAAGGGCCCTCACTCCCTACTCAGAGCCAGTAGATCCCCGAGGCAGGGGAGGGTCCGTATTGCATCCCCCTGCATCCTTGCGATTCTTCTGAATTCGGGCCCCGGCACGTGAGGTCCACATCGAGCATCTGGGGACTCGCTCGATTCGCTCGATTCGCACAAAGAAACGTGAGAGAAAAACCTCATACAACGAAACTCCCAAAAAAGTCCCAGAAGGGACCCTGAACACTCAAACCCTTGAAAAATAGCATGAATAACATGAAATATCACTCCATGAAACCAACATATCCTAAGCCGCAGTTCTGAGCACGAAGCCCTGAGGTACAAAAAAACCCTGTCAGAAATCTCTACTATGAAGCCATCCCACGCAAGATTCTCTGGGGTTGGGGGCACTCTTGTGGATTTCTCCGTGGGCGTAACTCCATACTCTCCGTACTCGCTGCGTGGAGCAAAGGCGAGAATGGCAATCCGAGGGTGGAGATAAAACTAAAAGCCTAAAACCCCATACTCTCAAACCAACAGCCCCCATGGCTAAACTCAAACCCTTTTGAAGCGTGGCTGAGGTCGGCGCCAGCACACAGAAAGATGGACACTCAACCCCAAAACCCTAAGCCCTAAACCCTAAACCCTAAACCCTAAACCACGTGCCCCCAGGAGCCCTTCTTGCAGCGGTCTCCAGTCCCTTGCAGCCGGCCTGCCTGGGCTCGCACGGGACTGCCAGAGGCTACTATTTGCTCAAGAACCCCCCCCCCAAAAAAAAAAAAAAATTAACAATCCATACATTGCCCTTATAAGGAAGAATATGTTTTATTTTTTTTTTTTTGGGGGGGGGGTTCTTAAGCGAATAGTAGTAGGCAACAGGGGTTTTGTGGCTTTACAATGGGTGTTTCAGAAGGCTTTTGGGCTTGGGGTTTCTGGGCTTTTGTGCTTTTGGGCTTCTGGGTTCTGACAGGGCTTGGGGGCTTTCCGACACACCGCAAGTCCGGGGGTTTAGGATTCAGGGAGCCTGTGCATTAGAGGCTGTGGAGGCTGACAGTCCCTAAACCCTAAACCCTAAACCCTAAACCCTAAACCCTAAACCCTAAGCCCATGGGCACAACCTTAGGGGTCCAAGGATTGCATGCGATAGCCCACCTCCGTCTGGGCGTTTGTTGGGATGTCACCCGGCACGCGAAACCCTAGGCCCTAAGCCCCAAACCCTAAACCCTAGCTCCTGAACCCTCAACCCTAAATCCTAAACCCTAAACCCTAAACCCTAAATCCAAACCCGCCCAGGGGCAGGCTCGCACCTCATCGTTCCGGCTGCTTCTCGTGGCCGGTATGCGCGAAGGACTCCAGCAAGCCCTCGCTCGCGGATTTATTTGTCGGATGTTAGGCGGTGGCTGAGCTTCCTGATCTGCTTTGGGCACCTTCCGGTAAGGACAAGACTTGCATTGAACCGGAGGGCTCTGGGGGCTAGCGTGCAAGAAGGTGAAGGCTTAATTATGTGGGGGCCCCCACTCAAAACCCGCAAAACACCCCCCCCCCCCCCCCCCCCCCCAAAAGCCCCAAAAGCCCCAAAAGCCCCAAAAGCCCCAAAAGCCCCAAAAGCCCCAAAAGCCCCAAAAGCCCCAAAAGCCCCAAAAGCCCCACAAGCCCCAAAAGCCCCAAAAGCCCCCTTTTTTGCAACCCCCAAATCCCTAAACCCCAAACCCCCCAACGCCCGCGCGGGAGGCCTTGACGTCGGAGCCCAGGGCCAGGTTCAGGCTTCTGACCTTGGCTTTGGAGCTTGCGGGGCGTTTAGGGTCTTCCCCCCACCCTCCCCCCCCCGCCCCTGAACCCTAAACCCTAGCCGCGGCGCGTAGTTCCGCAGGTCGTTGATGGTCAGGGCCGCCGCCCCTTCCTGCATTGTAGGCTGAGAGGGTTTAGGGTTTAGGGTTTAGGGTTTTAGGGTTTAGGGTTTAGGGTTTAGGGTTTAGGGTTTAGGGTTTAGGGTTTAGGGTTTAGGGTTTAGGGTTTAGGGTTTAGGGTTTAGGGTTTAGGGTTTGGGAGATCTGAAGCCCCAAACAGGAACACCTCCATGCAGCGTGTCCCACTTGCCCCCTGCTCGGAGCACTCCAGCGGCGAACGCTTGGTGTGCGCCTTTGCTGACTCCGTAGGCCCTGAGTCCCAGGTTTAGGGTTTAGGGTTTAGGGTTTAGGGTTTAGGTTTAGGGTTTAGGGTTTAGGGTTTAGGGTTTAGGGTTTAGGGTTTAGGGGTGCGCAAGCTGAAATTATGACCTTCGACCCTATACCATAAACCCTGTTCGCAGTGCACGGCTAGGCGGGTGGCATGACAAACCCTGTTCAAAACCACGTTCGTTTGGGGAAGTTGTTCTTCCTTCCGTGCCTCAAGGTGTTTCGGGTATAGGGTTTAGGGTTTAAGGTTTAAAGGTTCAGGCAGGGACTCATGAAAATGATCGAGATCGTTGCCTTATGAAGCATTCTGAATGACAGGCGCGTTGCGCAAGTTGCAGGTTTACTTGCCGTGCTGCCAGCTCCAACGCAGAAAGATGGGGGGGAGGGGGGTGGGTGGGTGTCAGGCTCTCACTCCCACTTGTTGCATGCTCTGTAAGCACACACATGCACACCCTAGGGTCTAGGGTTTAGGGTTTGGGGTTTAGGGTTTAGGGTAAACCCTTTCGAAAATATGGAAGATGCTTCACGCCAAGAAACCCTACTGTGCAGGGGCTCCTATCTAGGGACCCAAGAAGCTACAGCTTGGGTCTTCACGCAGTTTCGAAACATCGGGCTCAGGTTTAGGGCTTAAGGTTTCACAAGGTCCTGCCGCCGGCACTTCTCGAAGATTTCCCGCGCCTGACAACGCGGTTTGATGGCCCTAAACATATGCAACTCTCAGAGGTTGGGCTTCTTGTTCGGCCTCCTCCGGCCCTTGAAGCCCGAAAGGGCTCCGGGTTTTAGAGTTTGGGGAGGCTTAGGGTTTGGGGTTTGGGGTTTGTGGATTTTTTTGCCACCCAACCACCCAACTTAGCACAAGCGCTGTGGGGGGGGGGGGGGGGGGGGGGCAGGAGGGCTTGAGGCTCGAAACCGCGCCACCCCAAGCCTGACTTTCTGCTTTCGCCCGTGAAGGCTCCCACAGCTCTCGGGTGCTGAACTCCGACAAGCTTCATACAACTGCACATTCGCAGCATGTTCTTTACGCACGGATGAATTCTCGATGAGGAAAATGCAGAAAGCACTATATAGGACTCTAACTAAGGAAAAGCACCTGTTTGAGCCCAGACTCGGACAAGCTAGCTGACCGTTAACCCTAAACCCTCAACCCTAAACCCTTTTTTTGTTGCTTGAGGGCCCTAAACCCTTTTGCAACGAGCTTGGCTATGCTCCCGCCCTAAACCCTAAACCCTAAACCCTAAGCCCTAAACCCTAACCCTAAACCCTAAACCTAAGATGGTTGTGTCGCCTTCTCTTCTGGGAGCTGCCCGATGTCCACCAGCTCCGATAGGGTGAGATCACCGCTGGCGTCCACGTCTAGCATCTCGAACCTCATAAAGTCAAAGAGGGTTTAGGGTTTAGGGTTAAGGGGGTTTGGGGTTTAGGGCTTAGGGGTTAGGGTTTAGGGGGGGGGTAGGGTTTAGGGGGTTTAGGGGGTTTAGGGGGTTTAGAGGGTTCAGGGGGTTTAGGGGTTTAGGGGGTTTAGGGTTTAGCCTTTAGGGTTCAGGGCTTTGTTTTTGCCACCCGCCTAGCTGACCAGTCTTAGTCGCACTGCAGGGCACTAACTGGCCGTCTCTGTGAGGGAACCTCTTCAAGGCGAAAATGCATTGCACCTCCCGCCCTAAGTAGGGTTTAGGGTTTAGGGTTTAGGGTTTTGAGGATTAGGGTTTAGGGTAGCTCTCTTCTCACTTCAGGAGAAGGCATGCGTTCAACACAATTCAACACAACCACGAGAAGACCCAACAAAGTAAACACCCCACTACACAAACTATCTTACACGTCCTCCACCCAGTACATCACCCTTCTACACAGATCTAGCTAGATTCATCCCATCCTCCTATCTAGGTCTACTCACTGCTCCACTCAACGACCTTGAAGCATCCCGGCCCAAGCCACGCAACTGATGCAAGGATGCTGCAGAAAGAGATCGACCAAAACCATGCAACTGTACTCCCCGTCTCTCCTCATCCTATCCCTGCTCACTTGATGAAGAGTTTAGGTTTTAGGGTTTAGGGTTTAGGGCGTAGGGTTCAGGGTTTAGGGTTTAGGCTTTAGGGTTCAGGCAGCTATTGTTTGCCTCCCACCAAGCCGTGCAAAAGCCCACGTTAAGAGGCAATCCGAAACACAGAGCATGGCCTGCACCGGAAACCTTCGGTGCCAGGTACTCTCACCCTCAACCCTCAACCCTGCACCCTCAACCCTCAACCCTCAATGACCCTCAACCCTACACCCTCAACCCTACACCCGACACCCTACACCCTACACCCTCAACCCTCAACCCCACACCCGAAACCCTACACCCTACACCCTCAACCCTACACCCTACACCCTACACCCTAAACCCTAAACCCTAAACCCTAACTGAAACCCTACGCCTGCGGACAAGGGGACAGTAAGGCCAGATCGTCATCCCTCAACTCCGCCGCCTTCCCGCAGGAGGCGTCTTGGGCTTTGGAGTGACCAGGAGTCAAACCCTACTTGGATGCTCATGGTACTTACTAACCAATTATAGCTGTACTTATAACTGTACATATAAACAATTTGGGGCACTTAAGGGGCTTACAAGTGGGTTAGAAGTACAGCTAGAATTGGTTAGTAAGTACCATGAACTTCCAAGTAGACCCCAAACCCAACCCTGAGTTAGGAGACTTGCAAACTGCCTAAACTTCAGCAGAGGATGTGGTTTTCCCTGAACTCGGGTTTCTAAGGCTCCCTCATACATATACTTGTTCCTTGGGATGGTCCCCCTTATACTAACAGTCCTGAATAGGGATTCTAGTACCCCCCATGATAATCCCGATGAAGGACTGTTCGTACAAGGGGGAACATCCCAACTTGTTACTATGGGTCCGTGAGCTCCTTCAGGGTCTTCGAGTACTTTGGCCTTTTATTGCCTGGTCGTGCGCGCCCGCGCTCCCCTGAAGGGCGAGAGTGGAGAGCTTCATAAACCCTAAACCCTAAACCCTAAACCCCAAACCCTAACCCTAAACCAAGCCCTTTTGCAACGGGCTTTGGCTGAAAAAGCCCCTAAGCACCAAACCCCGAACCCTATTGAGCACGGACTGAGGAAGCTGCCGGCAACCTGAAACGCCAAACCCTAAACCCTAAACCCTAAACCCTAAACCCTAAACCCTAAACCCTAAACCCTAAACCCTAAACCCTAAACCCTAGTCTGCTGCTGCTTCGACTGAGTCTGTTGCTCCTTCGGCCCTGAACACCCCCCTCAATAAGGCCTCCAGCTCGCCGAGCTGCTGCAACACCTCCGCAGGGGCGAAGTGTGACCCCAAGCCCTTTTGTGGGGTTTAGGGTTTAGGGTTTAGGGTTTGGGGTTTGGGGTTTGGGGTTTGGGGCTTGGGGTTCAGGGTTTAGGGCTTAGGGTTTAGGGTTTAGTGTTTAGGGTTTAGGGTTTAGGGTTTTGGGTTTAGGGTTTATATACAATACTCATCCCCCCAAAACCCTATTCTAATTTGTGAGGCCCCTATACTACCCGAGGGCTTAGGGCTTTAGGGCGTAGGGTTGAGGGCTTCTCGCTTCAGGTTTGGGGTTTTCTTCCCTCCTGCATGGCAGGGATGCCGGATTTAGGTATAGGGTTCAAGTAGGGCTTCGGGTTTAGGGTTTAGGGTTTAGGGTTTAGGGTTTAGGGTTTAGGGTTTAGGGTTTAGGGTTTAGGGTTTAGGATTACGGAAGATGTGCTGACACCCTGGCTCAACAAACTGTGCTTGTCAAAGAATACAAGTTTCGGGTCTCAGCCACCCTCCCACGGGCCTAAACCCTAAACCCTAAACCCTAAACCCTCAACCCTAAACCCTAAACCCTAAACCCCCCTGTTGCTGAGCCTCCAGTGAACGGAAGCCGCGGCACCAGGCAAGACAGCTCTCAATGTGCGCCGGCGTTAAAGAGGGCAGGCCTCGATGTGGAACGAGGGTTTAAGAGCTGAAGGGCTTAAGGGTTTTCAGGGTCTAGTGTTTAGGGTTTAGGGTTTAGGGTTTAGGGTTTAGGGCGGTTTAAGGGTCTAATGGCTTATGGGCTTCGGGGATGAAGACCTGAAGGGTTTGGGGGCTGAAGAGTTTGGAGTTAAGGTTCAGGGTTTACTTGGTTTAGGGCTTACTCGGTTTAAGGCTTCCTGTAAACTCCCAAAAGATTGGAATCCTTATCCCCATACCCCCAAGAGGTATGCTGAAGGGAACCCCAGCTCAAATCATCCTTAAACCATGTTCCAACTTTCTGGAGGTTACTGTACTTAAAACCCACTTATAAGCCCCTCAAGTGCCCTAATATGGTCTTCATTGGGTTACGATTACACGTACAGTTATAATTGGGTTGCTAAGTAGCAAGAACAACCAAATACAGCCTTCCCTACTATTTGCCTAAGAACCCCAAGAGAAGAAGACAAAAGAAGAAGAATCCCTTATTACCCGTACAGGGAAGCTTCTTCATTTTTTTGGGGTCCTTAAGCAAACAGTAGTTCCAGCAAGGAGTTCGGTGAGGAGCTGACTGGATCCCGTGGGGCCCTGATTTCTGGGACCATGCCCCGGAACCCCAAAAGCCTTTCCGTGGAGTTCTTAGGACCTTGGCAGGTAACTTGGGAAATGGGGGGGCCCTTTGCATCCCAAGAGTCTAGCACTTTGAAAGATTGCATCGGGGTGCTCACCCTAAAGCCCAAACCCGAACCCTAAACGCTAAACCCTAAACCCTAAACCCTAAACCCTAAACCCAGCTAACCCGCAAGCATTGCACCGGGCAGCTGTTGCACAGGAAGCACCGCACGGTGATGGGACCGCTGCCCATGTCCTCCTGAGGCCGGAAGTCTTGGTTTAGGTTTTAGGGCGTAGGGCTTACCCTAAACCCTAAACCCTAAACCCTAAACCCCAAACCCTAAACCCTAAACCCTAAACCCTACGTAAAACCTAAAGCAGGGCTTAGGGTGCAGGGTTTAGGGTTTAGGGTGGGTTTAGGATGGGTTTAGGGCTTAGGACCTTCGGGTGGGCTTAGGGTTTAGGGCGGCGTGCTTCCCACCCGGGTTAGGGTTTTAGGGGTCGCTCCTTAAAACAAAAAAGCCCCAGTAAACTCTGCTGTGAAACTGGGGCTGTTGCTCCAGCCAGATTTAGGGTTTAGGGTTTAGGGTTTAGGGTTTAGGGTTTTGGGTTTTGGGTTTTGGGTTTTGGGGTTGCGGGTGGCTGCTCAGGGGCTGAGAGGGCCCGGACAGCACTTCAGCTTTCTGGGCACCACCGGGCCTACGCCTACGCCAACAACAAGATCGCTGCAACTGTTCGCTCAGGGGTTTAGGGTTTAGGGTTTAGGGTTTAGGGTTTAGGGTTTCGGGTTTAGGGTTTAGGGTTTAGGGTTTAGGGTGACATGAGAAAGCTTGTAGCAAAGATTTCGGGCAGCCGGCAGCTGAACGAACCAGAGGGGCGTGCCGGGGCGGATCTCGATGTTCAGAAAGCAGTGAAGACGTACTGGACACAAACCCTAAACCCAAAACCCTAAACCCTTAAGATGATCACATAGGAGGCCGCGTATCGGCTCCAACGGCTTCAAGTCTCAAAACAAAAACGATCTACCCGCATTTCGTCAAATATGCCTGAATTCAGTAAGTAGGAAAGCTTGTGAAGCCTCGTAGAAACTTAGAGGATATGATTCCTCCCATAAGTTATAGGGTCCGTAAGGTTGGGGGTCATGGGGAGCTACAAAACCCTAAACCCTAAACCCTCAACCCTAAAACCTAAACCCTAAACCCTCAACCCAAAACTCTCAACCCTAAACCCTAAACCCTAAGCCCTAAACCCTAAACCCTAAACCCTAAACCCTAAACCCTAAACCCTAAACCCTAAACCCTAAACCCTAAAGCAAAGCTCCAAACTCTGCGCCAACAAGTCGCCAGGCGCTGTCGAAGGTGTGGATCGGTGAAGACCCGCTGGAACCTTGGCTTATAGGGTTCTTAAGGGAGGAGGGTTTAGGGTTTAGGGGTTTAGGGGTTTAGGGTTTAGGGTTTGGGGTTTAGGGTTTAGGGTTTTGGGTTTAGGGTTTAGGGGTTCAAGGGGGTATGTAACCCAAGGTTCCCTCATACTCCCCACTATTCCCTAAGGCTCCCTAAGCTTCCTTAAGGCTCCCTAGGTACCTACCCCCCATGAACCCCCCTCCCTCAAGAACCCTATAAAACCTTGGCTGCGAAAGGCTATGAATTCCAAGGTCACGGCCGATGCACCAAATTAGGGTTTAGGGTTTAGGGTTTAGGGTTTAGGGTTTAGGGTTTAGGGTTTAGGGTTTAGGGTTTAGGGTTTAGCTGTTTTGGGTGTAAGTAAGGGTTTCTGGTTTAGGGCTAGGGCTAGCGCATTTAAACGTCATTTGGGGCTGGTTTTGGTTAGGGCGGTGGATCCCAGAACCCGAGACCAAAACCTAAAAGCCAAAAGCCAAAAGCCCCAAAACCCAAAAACTCAAAAACGCAAAACCCAAAAAAAATAAAACATATAACAAACAAAACCTAGTAAAAACAACCCAGCAAAGCCCTAAAACCCCTCAACCCCTAAACCCTGATCGAGCTTCTGGTGGGACAAGCTGTCGACCTCCGCGGCAAACTCCAAGCCCCCTGAGGCTTCGTCCGGACTCGCCTGCTGCTTGCTTTAAAAAACTACCAGAAGGGGTTTAGGGTTTGGGGTTTGGGGTTTAGGGTTTAGGGATGTTTAGGGTTTAGGGTTTAGGGTTGAGGGTTGAGGGTTTAGGGATCTTAATTCCCCTAAAAAAACCGCTATATATACACCATACAGTCCCTCTATATCCAAGCAGCTCCCCCTAGCAACCCCTAATAACCCCTAAGGTCCCTCGTAAGAGTCCCTGCTTTCGTCCCTAGATCTGTACTGGGGTAGGTTTGAGGCCCTCTAAAAATTAAACATTTCATGGCTTCATAAGGAGTATGTAGGGATGATAAGGGCACTATAGGAAAATAATGTTGCAACCTACCCCTGTGTAGGGCCATGGGATCTGTCAGCAAAACAAACAGGCGCCCTAAACCCTAAACCCTAAACCCTAACCCTAAACCCTAAACCCTAAACCCTTTTTTCAACGAGGGCTCTCTCAAGACCCTAACCCCTAAGTTCAAAATTTGTGGGCCTGGAGCTGCCGGGTTCGAGAAACAGGCACAGAACAGACTCCTGTAGGGTAGGAGGTTCGGGCAAACCCTAAACCCCAAACCCTAAACCCTAAACCCTAAAGCCTAAACCCCAAACCCCAAACTCTAAACCCTAAACCCTATATCCTAAACCAAAGAGGAGTCGGGGTCTCACCTCCGTGAACGCCCAGGGCTCTTGGATCTTCGCGTCGCCGGCGATCAAGATAAACTCCTGCTCAAGGCACACATGCATGGCTTGCATAGGGCTTAGGGTTTAGGGTTTGGGGTTTATAGTTTAGGGTTTAGGTTTATAGGGCTTGTTTCTTTTGGAGTTTTGCTCGCATATATAGGGGATCCGAAGTATGGGCCCGAACTTTGGGTCCCCTGTTGTGAAACCCTATATACACTATACATTGACCCTAAACCCTAAACCCTAAACCCTGGATCGCTATAGACAAGGATGGGACCATACTAAGGGCCCATGGTTCTGACCTTAGAATTTCGGGGACTCCGGACTTGACATCGAATGATGGCGATGGTTGGATTAGCCATGCGTTTCGGGGATTTCCAGGTAGACAGTGAGACCCTGACTCTTCTTTGGCCACTGTATTTAGGGTTTCGGGTTTCGGGTTCGGGGTTTGGGGTTTGGGGTTAAGGCTTCAGGGCTTTAGGGCCGTGAGGTCTCGATAGCTTTTAGGCCTAAACCGCCCCGAACACCCATTGATGGTAACACGCATTGATGGTTCTGGACCAGCCTCCAAAAAAGGAAATCCAAACCCTAAAACCCCCAATCCCAAACCCTAAGCCCCAAATCCTAAACCCTAAACCCTGCACCCTGAACCTCTCGACCATTTCGAAGCCCACCCTAAACTATCTCATCCGGCCGTAGCGCTGACACTTAAGTGTTTGGAGCTTGCCGCTGTCACTATCTGCGTGCATCGACCCCGGTTTAGGGTTTAGGGTTTAGGGTGTAGGGGTTTAGGATTTAGGGTTTAGGGTTTCGGGTTTAGGGTTTAGGGTGGGGTTTCGAGCTTTATACGCCCTTCTCTGAATGATACCCCTGAGAAATAGCTGAAGAATCAGCAGGTGCGTGAACTGACTTTCCAGGTTCAACCAAACAGGTGCTGCTGACTTTTCTGAATGGGAAGATGCCCAGTGAACCAGAATCTTGCCATCACGCGTCTTCTGCGCTTGCGAAGGGATCCAAGAAATCTAGGATCTTGCCATCAATTGTCCTGAAAACATCTGGGCTCTGGTCGTTATGATTGCTGGAGCCGCTTTGGTCGCCTCTCAAGCGATGCGGCATCGCAAGCCCCTTCAGCCTCCGTCTGAAGAGGAAATTGGTGTTTGCCTCCCTAAGCAAATTCCCAAGTCCGTTCGGGTCGGCGAGCGCCATCCGAACAGCAGCCTCCACCCTCTTGAGCCCAGTCTTTTTACCCCCTTCCACCGCCTCATCATCGTAGTCCTCGATTAGCAGATTCTTGCCCCACACAAGCTTGGTCTTCTTGCAGGCAGCGACAACGAGCATCGGAGCAACTCTCGCCTGGAGCCCTCTCGTCTGAAGCCACTCCTCGACGTCCGAAGCAACAGAGGGGCTCAGCAACGACGGTCTGTGGCCCGAGTTGAGGAAGCATGGAGCCTCTAGGTCATGTTCATGGTGGTCCTCTTGAGAGAAGAACCATAGCCACTTGCGGCCAGCTGGGTGTCCATGTGCGAGGCGTTTACTGGGCCGATTCGACATTATTGGCCTGCCAGCAATCTGAAACACATCCCTGACGACGCTGTAGGCGTTCCTCCGAATCATCGTCGAGTAGATACCCCACTGACCAGGCAACTTCTCCGTGAGAAAGTCAATAAGCTCGCGGACCTCGTCCGGACGTGTGTAAGCCCAGGATTCGTGACCTTGATTTCCGGCTTCACGACGGATCTCAACAACTGGCTGGTCGTCTGGCCAGATCAGTCGATCTGAATTTGGCGGGCATCGGACAAGTATTCCGTTCAAATCCAAGAGAACCACGAGGTAACGGGTTTGACCCGGTGGAGGGTCTGGCTGAGGGCTGGTAGCATCAAGGCGCTGCGATAAGGTGCTTTCCTGGCAACTCCCACGCGTTCACACAGCTGTGTCAACTTGTAAACTTATAGGCCTATGGGGTCGGTTCGATGTTCTACTGGGCACCCCTGACCTACAACAGCTCTGGCAAGACTCTCACCTTATGGTGGGATGTCCGATGAAGGGTTTAGGGTTTAGGGTTTAGGGTTTAGGGTTTAGGGTTTAGGGTTTAGGGTTTAGGGTTTAGGGTTTAGGGTTTAGGGTTTAGGGTTTAGGGTTTAGGGTTTAGGTTTAGGGTTTAGGGTTTAGGGTTTAGGTGTCTTTCCGGGCCTCGCTTGCCACAGTTGCACCATCTGGCAATCTCACGCTTAAGTCGAGGCGATAATTGCGAGTTATTGTGCCTGAGAGGTCAGACACGCTGTCCTCCGACATGGCAAGCCGCACCACAAGGACTTTGTGATGTCTCGTGCGTGGAGCTACTGGCACCAAAATCTTGAAGCCTACACCCCCCTACGCCCTAAATCCTACATCCTATACCCTAAACCCACATGGTTCGTAACTCCTGCGGCTGTGTGCGTGCTGTACATCGACGTCTGCAGAGGGCAGACATGGCCGATGGGGAATGCTTCATGCACCCAAAAACTCAGGTTTCCATAACTATGGGCTTCGAGCGACGAACTACGTGGGCGGAAGCCCCGCTCCCTTTACGTTCTCCCTCTTTGCGGAACATGGGGCCTGCATAACTAGAATTGGGTGTTGGGGGGGCGATGATAGTATAAACTATGAAGGGACTGTAAGGGAATACTATCGGGAATTGTTCCGACCCCTATGTCAGGCACCTCTTTCCACCGCATTCTGGAAATTCATGCATTCGGTGCCTTGACGTTTTGATTGACTCAGACATAAGAGGGGCTGGCCCAAAGCGACCATGCTATTGCCTCGACATGCCTAACAGCGCATAAGACATTCCAAAACAGACGCAAGGGCCGAGGTCTAAGCCAGGCCACAGGTTTGTCGAGAGCAGTGTCCCAGTTCCGAGCATGTTCCGCTTGAAAGGTAGGGCAGCCGTGTATCAAAAGCACATTCTGGCAAGCCTGCATGCAACCATAACCCTAAACCCTAAACCCTAAACCTTAAACCCTCAGCAATCAAAACCCGGTCCTTTCGAACCGAGATGGGATCCCGGAAGAAACTCCTCAGCCGACGAGCAGCGGAGAGGGCTTGACCAGGATGGCCCTCTCAAAACCCTTTGGAAAAATATTCCTTGAATGTGATCCTCTTAAAGCCAATAAGGGTTTAGGGTTTAGGGTTTAGGGTTTAGGGTTTAGGGTTTAGGGTTTTTTTTTTGCCACCCGCTTAGCTGACCTCTCGGACACTCTGCAGGGAATTGGCGGTTTCAAATACGGGGGTCCCAAAAACTGGTCTGGAGTTGTCGTTTAGGTGGAGCCAACAAAAGGAGCCCATTTACAAAGGTAAAGGGCCAACAGGCCGCACAAACATCTACGCAACCCAATGACAAGGTTTAGGGTTTAGGGTTTAGGGTTTAGCGTTTAGGGTTTAGGGTTTAGGGTTTAGGGTTTAGGGTTTAGGGTTTAGGGTTTAGGGTTTAGGGTTTAGGGTTTAGGGTTTAGGGTTTAGGGTACATGATCCTCTTAAAGCCAATAAGGGAGAATATACAATGTCCCAAGGGCCTACCGACTTTACCGAAATCTCTGAGGGTGCGTTGGTGAAGGCCGAAGATGCACCGCAAACGATTCAGAGAGCTGCTCGCCATCAAGATGCTGCAGACACCAACCCGAGAATTCAAGCCGCAGATGCTGCGCGACAGTATCAGGTTTAGGGCCTACCCTAAACTTTGAACTTTGGCGGAAGTTCTGAACCTAGACAGCTAGGCACGAAGCACTGCGGCCGGGGCTCTGTACAGCTTCCGCATCTGCGGTGGCTTTGCCACCGGACCTCGGCTCATGGCCAGACAGATTCTGGGCTCCCCCGGGGCAAAGCTCCCTAAACCCTAAACCCTAAACCCTGAACCCTGAACCCTAAACCCTAAACCCTAAACCCTAAACCCTAAACCCTAAACCCTAAACCCCTCCCCAAACCTGAATCCCTAACCCCCCCCCCCCAAAGCTGAGACGTCAAGTCTGAGGAGTCTCTTGGGCTGCAGATCGCAGCACCGAGCCGAACGAGGCCAAAACAGCTTCGATGCACGGTGTTGGAGGGTTTAGGGTTTAGGGTTTAGGGTTTAGGGTTTAGGGTTTAGGGTTTAGGGTTTAGGGTTTAGGGTTTAGGGTTTAGGGTTTAGGGTTTGGGGTTCAGGGTTTAGGGGTTAGGGTTTAAGGGCAACGGGGGGGCGGATGGTCGCACCTTGGAAGCCTGCAGCAACCACAACTCCCTGTAGAAACGGTGCGAAGGGATTCTGAATTGAGGTTCCAAACTCCCTGCTCAGAACCACTACCCCCCCCCCCCCCCACCACCTTTCTCGTTCCCTTACACCCCCCTACCAGAATGATTGAAGGGATGATATGTTTAGGATCCTTGGCTCCCTGCTACGAAATCAAGACCCAACCCTAAACCCTAAACCTCATACTCCCCCCCCCCCCCCCCGCCCCCAAAAAAAAAAGAAGCCGGGGGACAGATGCCGGAAGAACCTCCAAAGTAGCCAGGCGTGGGCCTTGGAGATGTCCGACGGGGGCGTCCAAACCTCGTGGGGGAAGGCTCAGGGAACCCTAAACCCTAAACCCTAAGCCCTAAACCCTAAACCCTAAAAACCCTAATTAAACCCTAAACCCTAGGCCTGAAATGCTTGGACCTCAACCTGCTGACATCCCTGCACCCCCAATGTCCCCCTTTGCACACAGAACACGTCAAAAAGAAACGTCAAGCCCAAGGGCAAAGACTTTCAAAGCTTCGACCCGCAACTTGCCCAACGACTAGGGTCTTCTGGGGTTTAGGGTTTAGGGTTTAGGGTTTAGGGTTTAGGGTTTAGGGTTTAGGGTTTAGGGTTTAGGGTTTAGGGTTTAGGGTTTAGGGTTTGGGGTTACCCTCAACAACTCTCATCCCAGCCGAACCCGATTGGACCTGGAAATGAACACTGCAGGCGTAGATTCAGGGCTTCAAGGCTCCAGGGTTTCGGGCCTTCTGGGGCGCAGGGTTTAGAACTTAGGGCTTAGAGGGTTTGGAGGGTTTAGGGCTTGGGGGAAATGCGGCGCCTACACCCTAAACCCTAAACCCGAAACCCTAAACCCTAAGTTTTTTGCCCGCCCGGGCGGCGCGATTTGGCCGAAGGGACGAGGCTCGCTTCCTGCCCGGCGGCCATGTTTGGAGCTGGATATGGGGTTTAGGGTTTAGGGTTTAGGGTTTAGGGTTTAGGGTTTGGGGTTTGGGGTTTGGGGTTTAGGGTTTGGGGTTTAGGGTTTAGGGTGTGGGGTTTAGGGTTTAGGTTTAGGGTTTAGGGTTTAGGGTTTGGGGGTTGGGGTTTAGGGTTTCGGGTTTCGGGTTTAGGGTTTAGTGTTTCGGGTTTCGGGTTTAGGGTTTCGGGTTTCGGTTTTCGGGTTTCGGGTTTCGGGTTTAGGGTTTCGGGTTTAGGGTTTCGGGTTTAGGGTTTAGGGTTTAGGGTTTAGGGTTTAGGGGGTCGTGTTTGGGCTTTAGGGTTTGGGGCTTGGGGTTTAAAATTTCCGGGCTAAGGGCAGCTTACAGAGTTCTGAGGGGGTGATGTTGGGAATTAGTTAGGCTCCTGGGTCGGGGCCTGGCTTAGCTGGCCCCCGAAGCCTGAAAACCCTTAGGCCGAGCCCGTGTTTCTGCTGACTGCGGGTGGCTCCAGCAGCATGATACCCTTTTGCATCCGGGCTTGGTGCTGCTATGATACCCTAAACCCTAAACTCTAAACCCCAAACCCTAAACCCTGAACGCGAAACCCTGCCAACAAAAGTGAGTCTGTGAGCTCCTGTCAAATTTGTCATGGACCCTGCTGAGGAATCATGTAATCCCAGCCGTGCAGGGTTTAGGGCTTAGGGTTTGGAGTTTAGGGTTTAGGGTTTAGGGTTTAGGGTTTAGGGTGTAGGGTTTAGGGTTTAGGGTTTAGGGTTTCGGGTTTAGGGATAGTTCGTTTATTTAGGGTTTAGGGTGTAGGATTCGTTTCCCTAGACACTGTAAGGCCTACACCTGAAGGAAGCCCTTGCTCCAACCTGCTGCCGGTCAACTTGACGTAGGCCACGCTGCCACACCATGTACCTCGAGCCCCAGGCTACGGAACACACTTGGGATGTTCGAACATCCCCCCTTATTTCATGGGTTCCCCTTTTACCCCCCCTAAATAACCTGAATTAAGGACCCTAGGGGGGGAAATATAGAGGGGGGTAGTAGGGGAACCCATGAATATACTAACAGTCCTTAATAAGGATTAAAGTACACCCTATTATAATCCCTACTAAGGACTGTTAGAATAAGGGGGAACTACAAGGGTTTAGGGCTTTTAGTTTTGGGGGGTTCAAGGGAGTCATACTCGGACTACCCCTAAGAGCTTCCCCTTAAAGTACACGAATATGGCCCTTACACACCCAGCAGCGACCGCAGGGATTATGCGGGATGTCTTGCACAAGGCCTGCGCATATAGGCAGAATAGCAAGGCACGTAAAGTCCATCTAAGTCTGTATTCTCGGGAAACCAGGCCATGAAGTTTAGAATTCGGGCCTTATCAACTTCTGGTCTTTGAAGTATCCTCGGAAAGATAGTGGTTATATACTCCAACAAGTACCCTGAACCCTGAACCTCAACCCGAAATTCCCAAACCCTACACCCTAAACGCTAACGCCCAGGAAGAAAGAGCTGGCACCTGCAACAGTCACCCTCCTAAACCCTAAACCCTAAACCCTAAAGCCTAAAGCCTAAACCCTAAACCCTGAACCCTAAACCCCAACCACAGCAGTGAGCTTGAGGCCCTTCAGCCGTTTTCTGCATCTGGGCCACCCTCGACTCTATAAACCCAAGCCTTCAAACCCTTAAGACGCTCTTGAGCCCTCTAAACCCCATGCATAACCTTTGCAAGCCTTTAAACCCTTTACCCTTGACAGCCTTTCAAGCCCCTGCAACCCTTCAGACACTAGCCCTAAACCCTAAACCCTCAAGCCGAAACCCGAATGCTGCCAAAGATCCTTTGTCATCGGCTGGCTCAGGGTGCAAGTGTGGGCAGGCAGTAGTCGTCCGCCTCCTTGCATGACCCAGGAGCCTTAAAGCCCTGTATGGACCCTTTGGGCCCCTAAACCCTAAACCCTAAACCCTAAACCCTAAACCCTAAACCCTAAACCCTAAACCCCAAGCCCTAAGCCCTAAACCCTAAACCCTGAACCCAAACCAAGCTTTCATGGGCCTATCCGGCCGAAACCATTCCGAAACCTCGTCATCCTACTGTAGAGCCTCCCAGATTCAACCAGGAGCCCTGGACCCTCCATGCTAAACTAGGGCTTAGACCGGGCTTAGGGCTTAGGGTTTTTTCCCACCCGGTTTAGGGTTTAGGGTTTAGGGTTTAGGGTTTAGGGTTTAGGGTTTAGGGTTTAGGGTTTAGGGTTTAGGGTTTAGGGTTTAGGGTTTAGGGTTTAGGGTACAGGGTTTAGGGTTTAGGGTTTAGGGTTTAGGGTACAGGGTTTAGGGTTTAGGGTTTAGGGTTTAGGGCTAGGGTTCAGAGCTTGGAGGGGCCGAAGGATGCTTAAGGCTTCGGGCTTGGGAGCCGAGGTCTTCCCGAACCCTAAACCCTAAACCCTAAACCCTAAACCCTAAACCCTAAACCCTAAACCCTAAACCCTAAACCCTAAACCGGGTGGGAAAAAACCCTAAGCCCTCCACAACGTGCCCGGCTCCTCACACGGGGTCGCTCGGGCTTTTCCGTGTCTGGTGGAACAGGAACTACCATGGAGCACCTTGACAGGGTTTTGGGCTTGGGGTTCAGGGTTCAGGGCTCAGGGCTCAGGGTTTAGGGTTTAGGGTTCAGGGTTTAGGGTTTAGGGTTTAGGGTTTAGGGTTTAGGGTTTAGGGTTTAGGGTTTAGGGTATAGAGACTTGCTCGGAAAAAAAAGGGGCAACTAAGGAAAATAGGTACTTCACAGATAAGAGTGTCCCACAAAGGCACCCCGCCCTCGCCTTTATCAGTGAGGCCCAAACGCTACTAGCATCGCCCTCACCCAAACATTGAACTACAACACAGCAACCACCACCAACTTCAACCAGACCCCAAGATACAGCAAAAGTATACTACTTGGAGGTAACCCAATTATCAGTGCAGTTATAACCAGTTTATGCACCCTATTAGGCTTATGATTGGGTTATATATGCAGTTATGATTGGGTTACTAAGAACCATGAACCTCCAAGTAGGAATGCCTGCAAGCCAGCGCATTGTCTTGCACACATTGCAGCATGTTCCGTATATCTGATGGCACATGATCCCAACACCACCTGCATGCTGCCTTGCATCATAAGGAGCCAAGGGGGTGGAAGGGGGGGGGCGGGGGGCGCGGGGGGTGTAAGGGCCCCATACTCCCCAAATGAGGGCCGAATAGTCCCAAACAAGCCTTCATAATCCCTCACAAGGGTACACCACCGTCAAGCACATCCCAATCTCTCGGTTCATGAAATGGAGGGCGCTAAGCCCTAAACCCTAAACCCTTGTTGAACCCCTAGACTTGCTATACGTAGTGCCTGGCGAATTTTAGGGTTTAGGGTTTAGGGTTTAGGGTTTAGGGTTTAGGGTTTAGGGTTTAGGGTTTAGGGTTTAGGGTTTAGGGTTCATGAGCCCACCAATGCGGCCGAAATCATGTCGATGAAGTCCGCTTCTCGCGCTAACAGAAGGTGCTGCAGACAAGGGCTACGGGGTCCTTGGCCCCGTGTCATAACCCGGCACTACGCATCTACCAGCAGTATCAAAAACTCTAAACTCTCAAAGCCCTCAACCCTAAAAATCCTCAAAAACCCTAAACTCTTAAAACCCTCAACCCTAAAAATCCTCAAAATCCCTAAGCTCTTAAAACCCTAAAAACCCTAAAACTCCTCAAAAACCCGACAAACCTGTGCTCTGGGGGACCTCTGGCTGCGAGGCCCTCGCCCTGGGCCATGTGGCTCCACCAGAGGCCTGGGTGTGTGCACCGAGTTGGACGAGCCTTGGCTGGTTCAGGATCGTGGTGGTGGTAGTAGTGGTAGTAGTGGTAGTAGTGGTAGTAGTGGTAGTAGTGGTAGTAGTGGTAGTAGTGGTAGTAGTGGTAGTAGTGGTAGTAGTGGTAGTAGTGGTAGTAGTGGTAGTAGTGGTAGTAGTGGTAGTAGTAGTAGGTAGTAGTGTAGTAGTGGTAGTAGTGGTAGTAGTGGGTATAGTAGTAGTAGTTAGTAAGTAGTAGTAGTAGTAGTAGTAGTAGTAGTAGTAGGAGGAGGAGTAGTAGTAGTAGTAGTAGTACGAGAAGGAGAAGGACAAGGAGGAGGAGAAGGAGAAGGAGAAGGAGGAGGAGTCGTAACAATAAGAATAACTGAATAGTAAAGTTTAACAACAAGTGTAATACTTAATCAGCAATACTGGTAATCAATATATAAAAGTAAGATACTAATGACCCTAAACATTGTGAGGAATCAAGGCACGCAAAGGCACGCTACCTGTCCGACCGTCAGAGTCCCAGTTCATGTAAGGAATCTAACCTTAGGGTTTAGGGTTTAGGGTTTAGGGTCTAGGGTCTAGGGTCTAGGGTTTAGGGTTTAGGGTTTAGGGTTTAGGGTTTAGGGTTTAGGGTTTTAGGGTTGGGGTTTCGGGTTGTTAGGGACAAGGCTTGCCTTGCCTGAGCCTAACCTTGAATGCTCAGCCCTCCACCCTGGGCTTGAAGCCACTGCCCCCTCCCTAAACCCTAAACCCTAAACCCTAAACCCTAAACCCTAAACCCTAAACCCGGCGACAAAGGAGCCGCTTCAGTCAGAATCGGAAGTGGGGTTTACTTCAACTAGAACTGAATGGCGTTTAGGGTCTAGGGGTTAGGGTTTCGGGTTTGTAGGGTTTAGGGTTTAGGGCTTAGCTGCCATCCTGTGTTTCAGGCTCCTGTTCTTAACCCAACAAAACCACCCATCACCCTAAACCCTAAACCCTAAACCCTAAACCCTAGAAAACCACCGCCATGCGGCCCAGCGTCCGGGCCGAGAGCCTGGCTGCGAGCCTGGTTGTGAGCTCGCCTGATGGGAGTGATGGTGGGTGTGGCCATCTCCTGGAAACATGTGGAGGGTTTAGGGTTTAGGGGTTAGGGTTTAGGGTTGAGGGTTTAGGGTTTAAGGTGTAGGGTTTAGGGTTTAGGGTTTAGGGCTTAGGGTTTAGGGTTGAGGGCGAGGGTGTTCAGGGAGTCCCGGCTCCTGTGACATAGATCGGAACCCTCTGAAACTTCACCATGTTCTCGAAGACGCGCATATCCTCTGGCTGGAGGGAATTAGGGCCCTAAACCCTAAACCCTAAACCCTGAAAGGGTATATGTGTGGCCCGAATTCCCTACAAGAACCAGGGGGTCCTCTGAGGGCAGGTTGTTGATCATCTCCTGCAACTCACCTCTCGCGGGGGTGTTTCAGAACGGAAGGGTTGAGCTTTAGGCTTTTGAACACCCAAACTGGCGAACACAATGTTTAGGGATTCGGGTTTAGGGATCAAGGGGGTTTCGGGTTTCAACTCTGTTGATCTGATATCATGCCCGACAAGGCAGGCGACGGTTGCGGTAGGCGAAGACCAGAAATTCCCCAAGCGTGAGGGAGCCAGACTTTTTGAAGTCTATCCTGCATCAGGTTAAGGGCTGTTGGGGGTTCAGGGTTGGGGTTAAACCCTAAACCCTAAACCCTAAACCCTAAACCCTAAACCCTAAACCCTAAATCCTAAACAGAGTTTAGGGTTCAGAGTTGTTGGGTTCTGCACGTTTATCTATTGCAGACCCAGACTGCAGGGTCGAGGTGTTGCTAGGGGAGCGAAGGCACCTTGGGGGTGGGCCGGCGCTTTCTTGCTGCTCTTGGGTCAGTTGAAGGGGCTCCGTAAAGTTTCAGGGTGAAGGGTGTAGAGTCTAAGTTCGAAAGAGCTTCAGGGGCTTTGGGTGTCTAATTGGGGTTCCCGGCCTCTTGAACAAGTCATCCAGCGCCACCTCAAGCTCGACATCTGCAGGCATAACGGCGCCAGCAAACCAGGTGTGAAGGCCCGTCAAGATCGACCGGACGCCGATGCAAAACTCCGCCTTGTTCAACACCCCATTGTTGTCCAGGTCAAACATGCTGAAGATCAGGGAGACGCGGGAGATGTAGCACTGGTTCGAAGTCAGCGCCGCCCCGGCGAAGACGGTGTTTCCATCCACCTTCCCCTTCTTCGGATGGAGGCTGCGGAAGGCCGCGTCGGACTGCGCGGTGTCCTTAGTAGCCCAGCAACCATATTATAACCAGGGCACCCCTTTTTTGGGTTGGTTATTTTTATAAGGGAACCCAGAACCCAAAAAAAAAAAGGGTAAAGGGTACCACTGGGCTCCCAAGTGTCGTGGAAGCACTGGAAGGCGTCCGAGAAGGCGTGCCGATCCATGGTGGGCTCTGCCTTGGGAACCAAATGAGCCCTAAAATTGGGACCAATACACCCTACACTACTATAATCCTTATTGGGGTATATGAACCATGGAATATGTACCCTATACTACTATAATCCTTATTGGGGTACATCCCTAAACCCTAAACCCTAAACCCTAAACCCTAAACCCTAAACCCTTTTAGGGTTCATTTGGTTCCCACAAGGTGCCGTGTTGAGGAAGCGCTGGTAGGCGCTGATGAGGTCCTCCCTGGACCAGAAGGCTAGGGGGCGCAATTCCTCGTGCATTTCTGGCACGCCGAAACCGCCCAACCTTGCTGCTCCGATTAGGGTTTAGGGTTTAGGGTTTAGGGTTTAGGGTTTAGGGTTTAGGGTTGAGGGTTTAGGGTTTAGGGTTTAGGGTTTAGGGTTTAGGGTTTAGGGTCTTAGCTGGGGCGCTTAGCTATGCTCACTAAGTCCTAAACCCTAAACCCTAACCCCTAAGCCCAAAACCGCCCAGATTTGTCCAAGCAACAAACCCTTGGACCAGATTTTGCTTGCAATCTTGCCCATGTTCTCCTGCTGGCCGTAGGAGAAGACCGACGATTTCCAGCCCTTGGGCACGCAAGAGCCCAGGGTTTGGAAGGTTTATGGTTCAGGGTGGGGTTTGGGCTTTGGGTTTAGGGTTTAGGGTTTAGGGTCTAGGGTTTAGGGGTTTAGGGTTTAGGGTTTAGGGTTTAGGGTTTAGGGTTTAGGGTTTAGGGTTTAGGGTTTAGGGTTTAGGGTTTAGGGTTGTTTAGGGTTTAGGGTTTAGGGTTTAGGGTTTAGGGTTTAGGGTTTAGGGTTTAGGGTTTAGGGTTTAGGGTTTAGGGTTTAGGCTTTAGGCTTTAGGGCTTAACCTTCCCTAACGGCTCAGCTCGAGCACTCGACCCTTACCCCAGATCCCTCTGAAGGCACAGACTAGTCTGACAACCCTAAACCCTAAACCCTAAACCCTAAACCCTAAACCCTAAACCCTAAACCCCAAACCCTAGCAATGCAACCCTTCCATCCGCTCCCATCCGGCAGAGACCTGAGCTCAACGGTCTTACCGCCGAAGCCCCCCCTAACGAAAGAGCCACATACCCGAGGAGCCCAATACCCCGTACCACTCCATACGTCCCACTTTTTTCAACAGGACTCCGCACCACAGAAGTTCCTTCAGCTCAACCCTTTTCACCCATGAGGTCGGAACCCCTTAGGGCTTAGGGTTTAACGAGGCCAGGGAATAGAAGAAGCTTGGAACGCCAGGTCGTGGGTTCTAGATAATCAGAATCTGGGCTCCTGCAACTCGGTTTAGGGTTTAGGGTTTTGTTTAGGGTTTAGGGTTCTGGGATTTGGGCTCCGCCTCAATGCGGTTTCGTGGCACCTTAACAGGTATGAGGGACATACTCGACTTGGAGAGACTCGAAACAAGGGGGGCCGTAATCCGAAGCAACCGCAAAGCCTACACCCTAAACCCGAAACGCCCTGAATATCAATTTTGGTCTTCCTAAAAACCAGAAAGTCACGAAACCGTAGCTGCTGAATAATGTTCTCTCACCCTAAACCCTAAACCCTAAACCCTAAACCCGAAACCCGAAACCGCAAGTTACCTGAAGGCTTACGCAAGCGGCTCGGTCTTTGCAGCGGCTCCTTGGAGCCTGGTGCTTCCGGACAACTCGTGAGCTTCGGAAGGGTTTAGGGTTTAGGGTTTAGGGTTTAGGGTTTAGGGTTTAGGGTTTAGGGTTTAGGGTTTAGGGTTTAGGGTTTAGGGTTTAGGGGTTAGGGGTTAGGGGTTAGGGGTTAGGGGTTTAGGGGTTTAGGGTTTAGGGTTTAGGGTTTAGGGTTTAGGGTTTAGGGTTTAGGGTTTAGGGTTTAGGGTTTAGGGTTTAGGGGTTTTTTTCACTCCTGCACAGCTGGGGCGAATCCACATCGCAGGGCAAGGGTTTAGGGTTTAGGGTTCAGGGTTTGGAGTTGAGGGTTTCGGGTTTAGGGTTTAGGGACTAGGGTTTAGGGTTCGGAAGGCTCAAGCTTTTCGTTCGCCAACGGCTTGGGGTCAGGATTGGGATGTTCCCCCTTATACTAACCGTCCTTAAGAGGGATTACAAAGGGGGTACTACAATCCTACTAAGCACTGTTAGCATAAACAAAAAACCCTGAACCCTGAACCCTTAAGGTTCAAGGTGTTCAGGGTTGACCCGGGAGGACTTCAGGCTCCTTGTGGGGGGGGGGGGAGTTCGGGCGCCCTAAACCCTAATCCCTAAACCTTAAACCCTGAACCCTGAACCCGAACCATGGGACCATGGGTAGGAAATCCCACTCTCTTCGTCGCTCTTCGGGGTTGAGGGCTTGGTTGCTTTAGGGTTTGGCTCTTGGGTTCTCATTCAAGCCTTGGCTTACACCACTAAGCCACTACGCCCCCTGAGCCCTCAATAACCTAAACACCCTCAACGGCCCTGTAAGCACACATAATTCGCAGCCCCAAACTTAAACACGTGTCATATCTATGCATTTATTATATGCTTCCTTCCTTCCTTCCTTCCTTCCTATCTCTCTCTCTCTCCCTCCCTCCCTCCCTCCCTCCCTCCCTCTCTCTTGATCTCTCTCTCTCTCTCTCTCTCTCTCTCTGTCTTTCTTTCTTTCTTTGGGGCATCTCTGTCTCTCTCTCTCTCTCTCTCTCTCTCTCTCTCTCTATAAATATATATATATATATATACTCTTATTGGTTTATTTATTTACTTATGTTTTTCTCTATTTCGTTATGTTGTTAGTTATATTACATTGTTAGTTATACTTGTATTTCTATTTCTATTTCTATTTATATATCTATGTCGATGTTATTTATATATTTATTTTGATATATATATATATATATATGTATATGTATGCATTTATAGCTATATTTATAGTTATATTCATATTTATATTCATATTTATATTATATTCGTATATATATATACATATATATATATATGATTTATATGTATTTTATTTATATTGCTATTTATGTGTGTATATATATATACATATTTTTATTTATGTACTTATTATACACTCACTACATTATGTATGTGTATAAATATATATACATACATAAATATATACATATATACATACATAAATTTATACATATATACATATATACATATATACATATATACATATATACATATATACATATATACATATATACATATATACATCTGTACATCTATACATCCATACATCTATACATCTATACATCTATACATATATACATCTATACATATATACATATACACATGTATACATATATACATATATACATATATACATATATACATATATACATATATACATATATACATATATACATATATACATATATACATGTATACATACAAACATAAATTATATACATATATAGACATATACACATATACACATATACATATATGCACATATACTTATATACCCTCTCTATATACACCCTATATCAACCCAAAAACAACAATGGGTCGGCCTCGAAAGGTCTCGTTCAGGGGTGTCCAAGGAGCGGCTCAGAGGCTTGGACCTTTGTCTCTCTTGGGGTTTAGGGTCTAGGGTTTAGGGTTTAGGGTTTAGGGTTTAGGGTTTAGGGTTTAGGGTTTAGGGTTCAGGGTTTAGGGTTCAGGGTTTAGGGTCTAGGGTTTTAGGGTTTAGGGTTCATTCAAACCTCTAGGTTTTAGGGTTCAGGGCTTCGGGTTTGGGGTTTCATAAGGTCTAGGGTTTGAGGGTTTGAGGTTTTTTGGGGCACCCGCATAGCTGGACGAACCACTTCCCTTCTCAACGCACAACCATCGCCAAAAAAGGTATCTTAGGTTTGCAGGGCTTAGGGTTTCCCGCCTGGTTCCCGGTGGAGGAGGGTGAAGGGCGTGGGAAGCGATGGGTTCATGGCCGAACTTGCGTCTTAGAGTTTTTTTTTGCCGACCATAGGGCTTTCTTGGCTCTGAGGGCTTTGGTGCTCTGTAGCTTTTGGGTGCGGCTCATTTCCGGGGCATTCTGGCAGTCTGAGGGAGGCGCTCAAGGGCCCTTCCACCCCGAAGCAAGAGCCTTCTTCTCCCAGAGGGCGTAGGGTTTAGGTCTTGAGGCCACAGAGTCCCAGATGCAAAAAATATTTGGTTCAGGAGTTAGCGTTTAGGGTTTTAGGGTTCATGGTCCCTTAGCAGGGGCCCGTGAATGGGGACCAGCTATACCCCTTTTATACATCGCTAATCCGTAATTTAATACTCCGATTTTTGAGTACATGGGGTGGGGTATTTCATATTTGGGGTAAGGGGGGGGTTTTTTTTTGTTAGGGGGAGGGGAACCCAAACCGACACCCTGCCGGGGTTGCTGCTAGGGGCCACTTGCGCTGGCTCGACGCCTGGCGGGTCTAGGGCTTAGGACTTTCGAGCTTTTAGGGGTCGCGGGTTGAGGGGCAAAGGTTTAGGGTTTAGGGTTCGGGGTTTGGGCTCTGACTTTAGAGGTTCGACTTGGTGCGCTTCTCGATTTGCGCGTCACATCCTTGCGCGGGGGCCACGCGAATCTACTCTGCGTCGTTCCAAGTTCTCGGCTGATCCCCATCGAGGGTTTAGGGTGGAAGGGCTTTTTCGGGGCTGGGTTTCCAGAGGCTTCAGGGGTTTTCGTGTTCGTTGGGAATTCCGTCTTGGCTTCTTTGGGGCTCCCGATTGCTTCTTGTGCCACCGGCACTCCCCGTTTGCCCCTAAACCCTCAACCCTCAACCCTCAACCCTCAAAACCTCAACCCTCAACCCTCAACCCTCAACCCTCAACCCTCAACCCTCAACCCTCAACCCTAAACCCTAAACCCTAAACCCTAAACCCTAAACCCCTAAACCCCTAAACCCCTAAACCCCCAAACCCTAAACCCTAAACCCCCGCTTTTCTTGGCTCCTGGTCCGGTCAAGCGAAGCAAGGCGCTCCGAGACCAGGTCGAGAGCAGCCTTGGCTAGCTGCACATGCTGCTCCAGCATCTTTGTGCCTTGGTAAGTAGCCCAGCAACAGGGTTTAGGGTTTAGGGTTTAGGGTTTAGGGTTTAGGGTTTAGGGTTTAGGGTTTAGGGCTTAGGGTTTAGGGTTTAGGGTTTAGGGTTTAGGGTTTAGGGTTTAGGGTTTAGGGTTTAGGGTTTAGGGTTTAGGGTTTAGGGTTTAGGGGTAGCCCAGTAACTATATTATGATAAGGGCGCGCCCTCTTTTGGGGGTGGGATGAAGGAACCTTGAACCCAAAAAACGGAAATTGGGCATCCTGGGTTCCCAAGGTGCTGATAAGAGTGGGCTACTTTCTAAGAGAACCTCGAACCCAAAAAAAGAAGCACCACTCGCTTGCCACGGTGCTGATCTGCTTCAAGTCCATGGAGAGCACTTGCACTATGAGACCCGGGAGCGTCGCAAAGCGCTGGACGTGGGGCAGCTGCTCCCAGTCTGCGAACTGCACCCAGTAGGTCACAACGTCCGGCGTGGCATTGAAGGAGTTCCTAGCTCATAGTTGAGATAGTATTAAAAAAATTCGATTCCTTGTTCAGCTTAAGGTTAAGTACCATTAAGAATGTAGAATGTTGCCCCACGATGACAGAGGTTCCACCAAGGAGGGAAGGGATGCCTGGATGGTGGCTTTCCGTCAGCGAGTCCGACCGAGCTTGCACCGTAGGAGGCGTAGCCCCAGTTGGACATGCGCTGCGCTCGGAAGAGGCAAGCCTAGACTTCCCTCAGAACCTTAATAATAATAATAATAATAATAATAATAATGACAGCAATAATAGTGTTTAATATCCTCTTGGGTTTCATTTTACCAAAAAATTTTTTTTTAAAAAAGCAATTCCCAAGGGGGATATAGAAGCAGAATCCGGCACGAGCAGCGGTATCGCCATCCGGTAGGCCTCATGGAAGGTCCGCTGGTGCAAATCGTTTGGCCAAAGAATAGCCGCATCAAAGCTGGCCAGCTGCTGCAGGGAAAGCCATTGCTCATCAAACTGGTTGTCCATCCCGAGGAAAACGACCTCCAAGGGATAGTTAGGAAAGTTGATGGACACGATCTCTCGCAGCAGTGATCGCAAGAGCTCGCCCATCAGGGACACGAAAAAGCGGGACCTGAGAACAACAGCACGCCGACTCGCTGCCTGGCCGCCATGCCAGCTCCCGGCGGGCGTGTAAAGGGCCAATGGTGGCACCCAAGGAACTTCCACACCCACCTGGTGTCGGACCTGCTCCGCTAGGAAGCGACCCTCTGCCATGAAGATCAAGTTCCGGCTATTGAGCAGGAGGTTGCGGGTCAGCTCCAAGTACCTCTGTGCCAGCGGGGAGCTGCCAAAGTGCCGCAGGTTCGTGTACCACGCTGCGCGGTTGCAGTCTTGACAATGCACGCCATACAGCAGCGTGGAGGATGCATGCACAAAGATGGGCTTGGAGAGGGCCTCCGCCATGAAGATGCAAAGCAGCGTCGGGTGTGAGCAGACCACGAAATCTGCCAGCTGCAACCTCGAGTCTTGCGCGCTCGCATGGGCCAGAGAACGCTTCCTCTCCTCCACTGTTTGCTTAAGAACCCCAAAAGAATTTTAAAAGAGAATCATCCCTATATTACCTTATAAGGAAGAACATTTTCTTTTTTTGGGGGGGTTCTTAAGCAACTAGTCCTCCAGGTCCCAAGGCAGCTCATCCAGCGATTCCGGATCGATGATGCCATCCTAGGTTGCCCAGTAACCCCAGGATTCAAAAGGTGTGCCCCTTTTTTTGGCTTAAAGGGGGTTTAGAGGGGAACCCCAAAAGCCCAACCAAAAAAAGGGAACAAGGGCCTACTCTGGGTCCTCGTGGCCCTTTTGAAAAGGTCCTAGTAGCCCTAAACCCTAAACCCTTAACCCCAAACCCTAAACCCTAAACCCCGAGAAAAGCCACTCTACTGGGCATCCTAGAATCAAGCCACTCTGCGACCGGATCGGCTTCATCCTGTTGGTCGCATCCCCACCCCAGCAGCTCACAGCGCTGCCGGCATTGGTGTCCTTGCCTAGGGTTTAGGGTTTAGGGTTTAGGGTTTAGGGTTTAGGGTTTAGGGTTTAGGGTTTAGGGTTTAGGGTTTAGGGTTTAGGGTTTAGGGTTTCGGGTTTAGGTTTAGGGTTTAGGGTTTAGGGTCTAGGGTCTAGGGTTTAGATCCTCTTAAACCCAATAAGGGAAAATATGAAATATCCCAAGGCTAGTTGCCCAGTGTGCTTCGGGCAGTAGCGGCCCAAGAAATCTCGCTGGATTGGCAAGTTTCCAGCCACCAGTTCTAGGCTTCCCTGGACAATCAGGACGGCGTCGAAGGTGGCCGTCAGATGATCCCCTATGCCACACCTAGTTCATGGTTGGGATAAGGTTCATATTTACATGTGTATTCCTTACAGGGTTTAAGCACCCTTAAAAATGTAGAATGGTACCCAACTAGGACAAAGACACAGCCGCACCTGCGCAGCTTCTCGGAACAGCCGCAAGGAGTCGAGGTGGTCCAGGCGGCCCTGCTGAAGACCCTGGCCTGCTGCGCCGATGGGCTCGGGACGTTTGGCGCCTTGTGGCTGGTGTCGTCGGAAGGACTGGCCCAGGTCGGCCTTCTGAACCTCCAGGTTCGTGACGATGTCCTCGAGCGCGATCGCCCAGCCGGCATTCTCAAGGAAGCTGAACTCCACGCCGCCCTTGCTGTTCGAGTCGCTGACCAGCGTGAAGGCCGTGTCCAGGTCGCGCAAGCCTCGGGTGGACCTTAAAACCCTCTGAAAACATATTCCTGGGTGTGGTCCTCTTAAGCCCAATAAAGGAAAACATAAGATATCTCCAGGAGAAGCCGATCGTTGGTGCAAAGATTGTCCTCCCCCGCACCTCGAAGGTGCGTGGCTGCATGTCGAGCGTCTGTCGAGCTCGCATGAAGGCAGCAGCCGCCAGGCCATAGAGGCAAAAGCCCTCCACATGGCCATCATGCGTGTACTCGTGGCGCAAGCGAGCCATGAAAAGGGACCGGCCACGAATCAGAATCTCATCGTTTTCAATGATGCCGTGGCTGATTGCAGATGCCTCCATAATCATCTCCTCATCCATCGGATAGCTCCTGGCTGCCTGCAGTAGCACCTTCTTTCGGAATCCATCCCACGCAGGCTCAAAGTGTGGGCCCTCGCAGTTGAGGAAACAGGGGGTTCGGAGTTGGCGCGCGGCAGCCAGAGGGTCCGTCTCCGCAAAGCAGTGATGGAGATTGGTTTCCGGCTTGGGCGGTGAAAGCAGCTCGTCTGTCGGCCGTTGGACCTCCACTGGCACCACATCTCCAACCTCGCGGTGGATACGCAGCACTTCGCCACCCCGAACTGCTCGGAAGGTGGTATTTCCCCATGCGTAGCCCTTTTGCAGCTGCTCTTTGACCCATGCCTGGGCTTCGAGGCCAGTCATCTTCACGGTATCTTCGTCAAAGGGCAAAACCGGCTGCTGATGCTCGGCAGTGGCTTGCGGCGCTCCCTCGCTGGATCTCCATGCGGGAAGCACGGCACCAGACGTCCGGAGCAGAAGCGACCAGGCTCGGACCTGATGCAAAACGTCCAGTTCGCCAGCACCTCCATCATTGATGCCTTGTGCCACCTCCACGTACCCACCCAAAGCTAGAAGGCGGTTGACCACCCAGCCAGCACCTCCTGGCAGATTCGTGTTGTAAACAGCCACCATCCGCGGCTGTCGCTCTTCCAGCACACGCCAGTCGTCTGCGAAGTCCTTGTACCCCATCTCGACGTCGGGGTCAAGAAGAAGAAAGCCGAGATCCTCCACGTGCTTGCAAGCCGCCCGCAGGTTTTGTGCCGTGCTTCCGTGGACAAGGAATGCGGTGACGCGCTGCCGATCTGCTTGCTTCATCTCTTGGTGCCAGTGTTGCTGGCTGCCTTGGTCGAGAGTGCGCACAGCAACTTGACTCTCGGCAAGCCGGCTCCTCACAGTGGACAGCCTTTCACGGCTCAGCTCGAAGGTCACGAGACGACGATCAGCAGGGCCCGGGCGTCGACGCAGGGCATCGGAGAGCAAAGCCGTGGTGTCCCCAAATCCTGCGAAAAGGTCCACCGTGCTTCCTGTACCAAGCATCGCGGCGCACCAGATGTTACGTCCGAACTGAGTGGTGCGGCCCGCACCCCCAAATTTAGATGCGACGGGTATCTGCCGGCAACGTGCTGCAGCTGCATCGTCTTCCTCCACCTGGTTGGCAGTGCATACCTCTGCGGCGCAAGTCTCCAAAGCTGCTTGCCAAGCCTGGACCACTTGGACTGCCTGGACCGCCTGGATGGTGTCGCTGGTGTCTGTTTCGCTTCCAGCGCGTGCGAGGCCGAGGAATGCAGCCACTCGGCGCATGGCGGGTTCCAGACTCAGGAAGAAAACATGGCCGGACGGCCGAGGAGATGCATCAAATTTTGCCGTGTGGGGACTGGCTGCTGAGGAATTGGCACGTGCTACCAGCTCACTTCTGGCTTAGGCAGACGCTGTTGGGGCTAAGAGTTTGAGGGTGTTGGGCTTTGGGCTGTTTAATTCTGGCAGCTGGAGCTTCAAGGCGTGTCGAGGTGGTGGCGCTCGGATGCAAAACGCCCCCGCATGGTCACAAGCAAAACCCCAACAAAATCTGCAACCCTAAACCCTAAACAATAAATCGACCTACAGCTTAGTAGCACTTGCCCATGCCTTGCCGGGCGTTACCCTCGACGTTGTGGGTGAATGCAAAAGGTAGGTCAACAGAACCCCCCGAAGGGCCCTACTTCGCGGGGGCGTTCTCTAGGTGAACGTCGGCATGCTGAGGACAGGGCGATGAGGCTTTAGGGGCAGCTGGAATTGTTATGGGCACACTGCGGCCCTGAGCCACTGCTCCAAATAAGGCTTCCGCCCTAGTGTTAAGGTTTAGCTGGGCCGTATGTCGGGTACCCCCAAACCCTAAACCCTAAACCCTCCTAAACTCTGGGCAGTCGGGGTTCGAGGGCCTCAAGCCCCTGAATTGCAGGCGTTTAGGGTTGAAAAGTGACCCTAGGTTGGCCCTCTTACCGCCCTCGTACACCCAAGAAGGGGAAGGTATAGAACCTCTGTGTCCTGCATGTGCTAAACCCTAAACCCTAAACCCTAAACCCTAAACCCTAAACCCTAAACCCTAAACCCGAAACCCTGGTCTGAGCTGTTGAAACCCTCGGCGCAGCACCAGCCCGAAGCCTGAAGCTTCGTTTATTCATCGCCCCGAACACCCTCAACCCGAGCTGCTCCTCAAAGGGTTGAAGTTTAGGGTTTAGGGTTTAGGGTTTAGGGTTTAGGGTTTAGGGTTTAGGGTTTAGGGTTTAGGGTTTAGGGTTTAGGGTTTAGGGTTTAGGGCCTCAGCCCCCAGAAAACCCTGGTGGGCCGCCTTGTGGGCGATTGAGCCGCGGACCCCCCGTCGCTTCTTTCGAGCCCGGGCATTGTGCGGGCGAAGTCGTTGAACCCAGAGACTCCAAAACCCCTTAAGTAAGGAATATACCTTAAATCATGTTAGGGTTCCTACTATAATGTAAGGTATATACCTTAAATCATGCTAGGGTTCCTACTTTCATGCAAGGTATATTCCTTAATTCAGGGGTTTTGGAGTCTCTGGGAAGGTTGAAGGGCGCGTAGGTGTTAGAGGAGCTGTCAAAGAGCCGAAGCTCAAATACCTCATCCTTCGAAAACCATTTCAGAATCTCGCATTATGGGCTTCCGCTGAGCTCCCCTTCTTCCCGAAGAACTTGCTGTCAGGTTTCGGTTTGAAGGGCGTTGAGGGCCAGCTAGGTTTTTGGGGGGCTGAGGCTTTCTGAGGGTACGCGACGCAGGCGGGTTTAGAAGGCTTCAGAGTGTCGCAGGAAGCCGAAAGCTATACTGAGAGAGGCTGCGAAGGGTTTAGGGTTTAGGGTTTAGGGTTTAGGGTTTAGGGTTTAGGGTTCAGGGTTCAGGGTTTAGGGTTTAGGGTTTAGGGTTTAGGGTTTAGGGTTTTAGGGTTCAAGCTTGCTGCACTTGCAGCATCTGCGCGACCCGAGACCCCGATCCATGGCTGGGGAGGTCGAACTTCCGAAAGGGTTTCGGGTTAAGGGTTTAGAGTTTAGGGTTTAGGGTTTAGGGTTTCGGGTTTAGGGTCTACCTGGAACTCTCTTTACCGACATTTTAATGGGTTATACCGTCATGCCTACGAATCAAGGGGTGGTTAGGACTAATCTGTAAGTAGATTGTCCCAGGCACCCCCTCAACCCCTGGGGCCCTAGAAAAAACTTAAAAACATATTCCTTATTGGGTTTAAGTACCCTTAAATATGCAAAATACTACCCAATTATGACAAAGTTTTTTTTGTTGTTGTATCCACCCCTCGAACTTGACGTCAGCTGGCACGCCCGGAAACCCTCTTTCCTAAGCAGCCCTCCAAAACCCTAAACCCTAAACCCTAAACCCTAAACCCTAAACCATAAACCCTAAAGCACATGGTCGTCCTTGAGCCGCTCCAAGAGGGTGGTCGTGTCGCGGTCGAAGCTTCCCACCTGGCCCTGAGAGCGCCGTGGCCGCTTTGGGGTTTAGGATTTAGGGTTTCGGGTTTAGGATTTAGGGTTTCGGGTTTAGGGTTAGGGTTTAGGGTTTCGGGTTTCGGGTTTAGGGTTCAGAGTTTAGAGTTTTAATCGGGATTTGGGGGGATTTGGGAACGTGATGTTTTCTTTGTTGGTTTTTGTTGAGGGGCGGGGGTCTTAGGATTGGGGATCGGAGGGCTTTTCGGGGACTTGGGAATCTTGGGAGTGTTTTTTGTTGCCGATAGCGAAACAGCACTCAGAAGGGGCACGGCAACAACAGACAGGACGCAAACCGACTTTAGGGTGTAAGGCCCTAAACCCTAAACCCTACACCCTAAACCCTACACCCTAAACCCTAAGGTCCTGGGGGTGCGTCTTCTTAGTTGTCCAGCAACCTGGGGGAACTAGAGGCTAACCTTTTTGGGATTATATGGAGATTTTATTACCCCAAAAAAGGTTAAAGGTCACCTACTAAGGCCCTAAACCCTAAACCCTAAACCCTAAACCCTAAACCCTAAACCCTACTCTACTACTGGGTCTTTCAACTGCTGGGCGTTGACTTAGGGCTGCAACCTAGGTGCCAGGGCTGAGGGGGTGCGGGCTTAGGAACCCTAAGCCCTAAACCCTAAACCCTAAACCCTAAACCCTAAACCCTAAACCCTAAACCCTAAACCCTAAACCCTAAAGCTCGCACCGGGAATGTTCGAGGCTTCCTGAAAAAAAACTGAAGCGACATGGGGGTTTACGAAAACAGGGGACAATAATAAGAACCCCAACAAGGTACCCCTAATATCGTAAACCCCCGAACCCTGCCCCTCAGGCCGGACGGCTCCTTTTTCCAGTGCATCTCGGCTGTGTCGAGGGTCGTTTCAGATTACAGGCCGTCTTTGCGCACGGCTCCTGATTTCGGATGCTTTCTGGGGGGGGGAACTTGGCTTCAGCTCTGTCACAAACCTCGACCCCCAACGCGAAGAGAAGCCCCCCACTAGCTCCCGAATCCTACTTATCAGGGACTCCCCCCAACTGTCCTGCTGCGGCCATATGCCTGTGTGGCTAGGTGCCAAGCGCCAAGGTGTAGCCTCCTCTGGGCCATGCCAGGCCATGAGGCACCAAGCTCAGACGTACTGGTAGGTGAACCTTGGGTTTAGAGTTTGGAGTTTGGGGTTTAGGGTTTAGAGTTTAGGGTTTAGAGTTTAGGGTTTAGGCTGGCTTTAAGGCTTTCAGGCATCGAGTTGATTTGCACAAACTTTTGCAGTGATGGTGGAGGATGTTGGAGGGTTCAGGGCATTGGGGTGGCGACAAGGGCTTGGGGTTGGGATGTGGGTTTAGGGTTTAGGGTTTAGGGTTTAGGGTTTAGGGTTTAGGGTTTAGGGTTTAGGGTTTAGGGTTTAGGGCTTAGGGTTTAGGGTTTAGGGTTTAGGGTTTAGGGTTTAGGGTTTAGGGTTTAGGGTTTAGGGTTTAGGGTTTAGGGTTTAGGGTTTAGGGTTTAGGGTTTAGGGTTTAGGGTTTAGGGTAACAGAGGGGTTTACTATAAGCCTTATTAGCGGGAACATTCCCAAGTTTGGGGCCTCGGGGATGCAGGGTTCGGGGCCTAACGTGGTGGGCTCAAACGTATCCGGGCGCAAAAGAGGCGAGAAAGGCGTTTCTTACTGTGAAGGGGGGAGGCCCAGCTTTCCAAACTGGGTTTAGGGTTTAGGGCTTAGGGTTTAGGGTATAGGGTATAGGGTTTAGGGTTTAGGGTTTAGGGTTTAGGGTTTAGGGTTTGGGGTTTGGGGTTTAGGGCTTAGAGTTTAGGACTTAGGGTTTGCGGCCCCCAGTGGTTCCAAGATGTTCCAAGCGGCTTCCGCGCTTCGTGGAACTTTGTCATCTCCTGCCAAGGTGGCGACAGGGCACCAATGGGTTTAGGGTTTAGGGTTTAGGGTTTAGGGTTTAGGGTTTAGGGTTTAGGGTTTAGGGATTAGCAACATCCAGTGCTCCAGCCTTGGGAGTTTGGGCGTGGGGTTTCGGGTTGCTTGGGGGCTGAAGGTTCTTGGGCTCCGGATCCACACAATGGCCCAGCAAGTAGCCAATGAGATATTCCGACTTTCATGAGTCCGGCTGCGCCCTAAACCCTAAACCCTAAACCCTAAACCCGAAACCCTAAACCCGAAACCCGAAACCCTATGAAGCCTTCGCACCATCAACACTCTCCGGCACAAACCTTTGCCATGATGGAAGGGCTGGCGCCGAGGTTTCACGCTCAGCCTCTTCTCCACCATCTGCATGAGGAACCCTAAACCCTAAACCCTAAACCCTAAACCCTAAACCCTAAACAGCCTTAGCATCCTTCAAGCCCCTCGAGGTTCGAGTGCCTCACGCCTCCTGAACCCTCAACCCGAACCCTTAAACCCTTAAACCCTTAAACCCTTAAACCCTTAAACCCTTAAACCCTTAAACCCTTAAACCCTTAAACCCTTAAACCCTAAACCCTAAACCCTAAACCCTAAACCCCCCATCTCCTGGCCGCTGTTCATGAAGCCGACCCGACCCTCAAGCGACTCGGGCACCTCTCCAGGGAGGTTCTTGGGTGACTTATGTCTTTGGGATTTAGGGTTTAGGGCTTTAGGCTTTAGGGTTTAGGGTTTAGGGTTTAGGGTTTAGGGTTTAGGGTTTAGGGATGCGCTAGGCGTGTTGTTGGATTTAGGGTTTTAGGTTTAGGGTTTAGGGCTTAGGGTTTTAGGGTTTGGGGTGTTGGGGTGTTGGGGTTTGGGATTTAGGGTTTAGGGTTTAGGGCTTAGGGTTCAGGGTTTAGGGGTTTAGGGTTTAGGGTTGGGGTTTGGGGTTTGGGGCTTGGGGTTTGGGGTTTGGGGCTTGGGGGTTTGGGTTTAGGATTTTTGGGGATAGTCGCGGATGACAGCGGAATATGGGCACGACACTCGACCACGGGGCACAACAGCAACTGAAGGGACAAAGCTCTGGTTGCCTGCTCGCCATGTCTTCAACGTGGGAACCATCATGCAGCGCCCGAACCTCTGCAACCCTCTGAGTCCTTCATGTGGGTACTTCCAAAAAAAGGGGGGTACCATTCATATACCCCAGAACAGAATAATCCTTATTGTAGAAGAGTACCCCCCCCTATGAAACCCCCCATGTGCAGAATCCGTCTGAAGCCCTAAACCCTAAACCCTAAACCCTAAACCCTCAACCCTAACCCTAAACCCTAAACCCTAAACCCTAAACCCTAAACCCTAAACCCTAAACCCTAAACCCTAAACCCTAAGCCTAAACCCTACATGAGGGCCTTGGAACCCTGAAGGCCGGGTGCCGCCTTGAAGATGCTGTCCCGGGGCTTGCCGGACATGAAGCCGCACTTGCTTCGGGTGCTGGCCTGCAGGTGGGGCCCTAAACCCTAAACCCTAAACCGTAAACCCTAAACCCTAAACCCCCATTTGGGGGGCTTCCGACAATAGGGGCTCCCTTCTCCTACTGTTTTGGGGACTATTCATAAGGGGGTCTTCCGAAAATGGGGGTTCCCTTCTTGGGGGTTCCTACAATAAGGATTTAGAGTATTTGGGGTTTAGGGTTTAGGGTTTAGGGTTTGGGGTTCCTATAATGAGGATTATAGTATTTGGGGGTTCCTACAATAAGGATTTTAGTATTTGGGGGGTATATTCGAGGTACGCCTGCTTTCGGAAATGCCCAGTTTGGGCTCTGGCACGCAGCAAATTTCGAATCCAGAAATCAGCAGCCTCCGAATAGAGCCGTCATGACCCGCAGGTCTGGGAAACCCTTCAGGCTTACACGGTTTAGGGCTTAGGGCTTAGGGCTTAGGGTTTAGGGTTTAGGGTTTAGGGTTTAGGTTTAACAACCATGTTTTCGCAAGGAACTCGACTGCTGCCCTTATTGCCCAGCTCAAACCCTAACCCTCGAACCTGCGGCCCCAAACCCCTTCTGTCAAAGACGCCCAAGGACTGCCCAAATCCCGTGTCAGCGCTTAGGGTAAACCCTAAACCCTAAACCCTAAACCCCCCCCTCGCAGAGTCTCATCGCCGCCCTGCCTTTTTGTAGAAGAACTTCTGCCAGTTGGACTGCAGCAAAACGCTTTCGAAAGTGCCGGGGGGGAAATTCAGTTCAGTTTACTTGAAGGCATACAAGAGCTGTTGCTGCATCCTGCCCAGCTACCGGTCTAGGGTTCAGGGATTCTGCCTTGGGAAGTTGGGGTTCAGGGCTTCTGCCTTGGGAAGTTGCGGTTGAAGTCCGGCGTTGTTGTGTCCATCACGGCTACAATCACACGCAACCACAAAAAAAAAAACATGACATGGCCATCACAAGGATTGGCCTCGGGAACATGATCACCGGCCGGCGAAGACCCCAAAAGGCATGCCTAAACCCTAAACCCTAAATCCTAAACCCCAAACCCTAAACCCTAAATCCTAAACCCAAAACCCAAAACCCTAAACCCTAAACCCTAAACTCTAAACCCTAAACCCTAAACCAACGACGCCCTAGCATCCCAGAGGCAAAGACTTGGGAGGCACCACCCCCTCCAAACTCTGCGGGACCGCAGGTCCCCGGAGCCGCGTTCCACCCATCACGGCACGTTCCCCGCTTAACACCGGGTTTGCAATGAACTGCTGCTAGTGTGGTTCCTAAAGCTCCCTAAACCCTAAACCCTAAACCCTAAACCCCAAACCCTGAACCCTAAACCCTAAACCATGATGCTTCGGGTCACCAACTGCTAGCAAGCGACCTGCTGCTTCACGTGCTCGTGCTCCAACTTATCCGCACGCTGCTGCTTCTTGATGGCCTTGACTTTGGGGGATTAGTTTGGGTGTACAACCTGCTCAACCTTGTCCCAAATCCGCACCACCCTAAACCCTAAACCCTAAACCCTAAACCCTAAACCCGGAGCTGGAGAGCTTCTAGGGCTTCAGGGCTCGGGGGGGGGCACGAAGCTCTGAAGTCCAGAAGGGCTCAAGCCCGAGCGGCCGTGATCTTCCGTCGCTTGGCCTCGATGATGTCTTCAGTGTCCGTCTTCCTGGGCGTGGTTTGACTTTCTAAGGGTTTAGGGTTTAGGGTTTAGGGTTTAGGGTTTAGGGTTTAGGGTTTAGGGTTTAGGGTTTAGGGTTTAGGGTTTAGGGTTTAGGGTCTAGGGCCTAGGGTCTAGGGTCTAGGGTTTGGGGTTTAGGGTTTAGGGTTTAGGTTTAGGGTTTAGGGTTTAGGGTTTAGGGTTTAGGGTGTAGGGTTTAGGGTTTAGGGTGTAGGGTTTAGGGTTTAGGGTTTAGGGTTGAGGGTTGAGGGTTGAGGGTTTAGGGTTGAGGGTTGAGGGTTGAGGGTTTAGGCTTAGGGGTTCTTTTGGGGAAAGGGGGTGGGGGGTCCCTTGTTTAGGCGGCGAAGGGGGCTGATCTGGAGTATGGTCCCTTTTCTCTGTCAACAGCTCTCTCTGAGGCAAATACGTTGATTGACATGAGTTTAAGGAACCATAATCGGAGTACTACACTACTTGAACTTAAGTAACCCGAATTCAGAATGCTAAGCTACTTACTCTATGGCCCAGAGAATTAAATTCAAGGGACTAAAGGAGGGACCCTTATAAGGGACCTTAGGGGATATTTAGTGGTTACTTGGGGGCGACTTAGGTACAGAGGGACTATATACGGTATGTATGGTTCCGTGTCACGTGTCGGTACCCCGGTATGTATGGTTCCGTGTCCCGTGTCCCCCCCACCCCCCACCCCCCCGCCCCACCCCGCCTAAACCCTAAACCCTAAACCCTAAATCCTAAACCCCTCCCTGAACCCTGAACCCTGAACCCTGAACCCTGAACCCTGAACCCTGAACCCTGAACCCTAAACCCTAAACCCTAAACCCTAAACCCTAAACCCTAACCCTAAAACCCTAAACCCTAAACCCTAAACCCTAAACCCTAAACCCTAAACCCTAAACCCTAAACCCTAAACCCTAAACCCTAAACCCTAAACCCTAAACCCTAAACCCTAAACCAAACCCATGGGGTGGGGAGGGGTGGGGGGGGCAGCGACATGGGGGGGACGGGGGGTTCCTTCCAGGGGTCCCTCCTTCACCCCTTAACTCAACCCTCAACCCACCCTAAACCCTAAACCCTAAACCCTACACCAAAAGAGCCCAGAAGATGCCCTCCGAGGTCAGCTGGGAGGCTGGATCTGCATGCTCTCCGGAATCTTGTAGCCCGCCGGCGTGGTGACCTACCAAGGGCTTTCGGGTTTTGGGGTTGTAGGCTTTTAGGGGTTTTAGGGTTTAGGGTTTAGGGTTTAGGGCTACTGATCCACATGTCAAAGCCCCAACTCCGCACGCAAGGACAGGGGGCCGCTGCCACACCGGGCTTCACGTCACATGCCGCGCTCCAAGAGAAGGCATCATGCGCACTGACTTGAAACTACAGTCGGCCCTAAACCCTAAACCCTAAACCCTAAACCCTAAACCCTAAACCCTAAACCCCAAACCAGCAAGTGTGGCCAAGATCCGCGCAAGTCGGACCCGGCCTCTTTGATTGTGCGCTTTTGCTGTCCGACTTTCCTGAGGGTTTAGGGTTTAGGGTTTAGGGTTTAGGGTTTAGGGTTTAGGGTTTAGGGTTTAGGGTTTAGGGTTTAGGGTTTAGGGTTTAGGGTTTAGGGTTTCCTGAGCTCAAGAGCAACCCTCTGGCTCTGGAACCTGGTCCTCTCACATTGAAGCAGGGCTTATATTTCTTGTATCCCCAAAAGGACACCAAATATCTACACTCACCAGTATCAAAAAAAGGAACCTTATATACACTCACCAAAAACAGTAGTATAAACCCTACTTCACATCACTCTTAGGATAGGTACTTGGTCCCTCAGCATGGGTCCGTAAAAGGGGGACCCCTTACATAACCCTTTTATGCCCTACACAACCTGGGGGCCTCCATGTAGCTGCCCTTAGAATCACAAGGGCCTCCCAAACAATAACAATAATTCATGAAATAACAATAACAAGAACAAGAACAAGAACAAGAACAAGAACAAGAACAAGAACAATAACGATGATACCAATAACAATAACGATGATAATAGTAATAATAATAATAATAATAATAGTAATATTCATACTGATAGTAATAACAGTAAGAATAATAATTTACAGAAGCAAGCAAAAAAAAATGAAACGTGGAGCCCGGGCTCCCCGAGGTCTGCAGGCGGATCTGGTCGAACCTGACCTCGGCCCGGCTCCCGTAGTCCATGAAGGTGATCCTGGGCTTTGAGGGTTTAGGGATTAGGGTTTAGGGTTTAGGGGTTTAGGGGTTTAGGGGTTTAGGGTTTAGGGTTTAGGGTTTAGGGTTTAGGGGGTTTAGGAGGATGCTGAAGGCTTTGGGACGTTGACTGGATGCCGCGTGGGTTGCCACGGTACTTGGCGCGGGGCTTGCTTTAAAAGGTATTAAAAGGTACTCAAGGAAAACTGTACTTACAACCCAGTCAGAGCCGCAGTAGAGTACCTAGAAGTGGGATTTAGCCACGGTTATCTTGGGCATTGTAGGTACCAAACATAGCCTGGAGGAGAGCCCAGGCGCTTGTAGCCCTTCTCCGTCTGCTCCGTGATCACCTCGGAGCAGGCGGCAGTTTCCCGACAAAGCCCTCTCCCCAAAGCGCATACCCCGTCATCTCCCCGAAACCAGCGACACTCATACCCCCCAACCCCCTGCCTGCGACTTTTCACCATGCCGTCCGGTGCCGAAGCTCTATATTTTTGAGGCCGCAACGTCTGGGCTTGCTGCTGATCTACCCTAAACCCTAAACCCTAAACCCTAAACCCTTCTGTGCATGGGGTTCACAGGTTCTTCAACCTTTCCAGTGACCTTCTCTCACCCGGATCTGTACCCTCGCGCCGCGGCCATGGCACGCGAGCCTAAGAACCCCCCCCCCAAAAAAAAAAATAAACCCTAAACCCTAAACCCTAAACCCTAAACCCTAAACCCTAAACCCTAAACCCAACTTTTGTGGTTTCTAGGAGGGATGTCTGTTGTGCCTCGTTCCCCCACACGGTATACGTCATCTCGGCATCCAACGGCACTCAAGAAATCATTTGCATGTTCATTTGCAGCTGGTGTTTCGCTGATATCCTTAACCCTTCATTAGACCCTACATACAACCCCAGCCCCTTATCACTGAACACGAGACTGGGACTACCCCAGGCCCCAAACCCCCCTCAACCCCAAGCCCTAAACCCTAAACCCCACAATATTTGTCTTTTAGGGCCCCCGACGCAGTCATACCACAGGCCATCCTCCGGGAAGATCGCCTGCAAGGGGGCCGGGTGAGGGGTGGGGGCCGGGTAATGGAGCCCTAAGGGGTTGGAGGGTTTAGGGTTTAGGGTTTATTGTGGGGTTTAGGGTTTAGGGTTTGGGGTTTAGGGTTTGGGGTCTAGGGTTTAGGGTTTAGGGTTTAGGGTTTAGGGTTTAGGGTTTAGGGTTTAGGGTTTAGGGTTTAGGTTTCAGGGTTCAGGGTTTAGTGATTCGACTCAGTGCTTAGGCGCCCTTCGTAAACAAACACAAAGGAGCGACACGGGACCCCGGCATAGTCGCGGCATCCGGAACCCCTGAGCCTTGTCTGGCAACCCTAAGCCGTAAACCCCTAAGCCCTAAACCCCTAAACCCTAAACCCCTAGGCCCTAAACCCCTAACCCCCAAACCCTGAAACCTTCGGCGCTTCGGTGTGGCACGTTTGTTGTGGGTTTGCGGCTTAAGGGGTTTTAGGCCTTGGGGCGTCTGCAGGAGCTTTAGGGCGAAGCGGCCAACAAACGGCCAAACGCAGTGCGCAGACCATCCTGGACCAGCGAATCCTTGCAAGGAGCCCCTAAACCCTAAACCCTACTGTAAACCCTAAACCCTGAACGTGAAGAATGCCATCCGTTTAACCTGCGGTCTTCAATTCCAGAAGTTTCCATGCTTCATGGAATCCCTTGCATGCATTGCACCTCTTCCCAATCTGAAAGCCTTCAAACTCGAAACTTAGCCAAGGAGTTTCTGGTTTTTCTGGGGGATTCTTCAATGACAGCGCCCCAGCTTTCGGCGCCTGACACTTCGTTCCTGGCTGACATTGGGCTGGATGCGGTGGCCGCAAAAGGCGGACGTCCGTCACCTGCACAGCGATAAACCCTTTTGAGCCTGGAAGCTGACCCTAAACCCTACTTGCCAACGCGTGGCTCTTGGGGGGGCGGGGAGGGGGGGGGGGGAAGGGGGGAAGCGGGGGGCGGGGGCTGCGGGGTGTTCTGGGTAAGGCACCACCTGCCCGCAGGGCCCCGCGATGGGGTTTGGGGTCTGGGGTTTGGGGTTTGGGGTTTAGGGTTTAGGGTTTAGGGCTTAGGGCTTAGGGCATCCCCAGCCTTGAACTCCCGGCTGTTGGAGAAGCCGATGAACTCCACCATGCATCGCTCCTGCCCGCGCTCGTCACGGCGGACAGACTTGATCTCGCCTGCAGCTCCCGCCGCCCTTTTTCCCCTCCCCTCCCCCTCTTTGGGGTTTCGGGGTTTAGGGTTTAGGGGTTTGGGGGTTTAGGGCTTAGGGTTTAGGGTTTAGGGTGTAGGGTTTAGGGATGAGGGTTTAGGGTTTAGGGGTTTAGGGTAGGGTTTAGGGTTTAAGGGTTAGGGTTTTCCCCCAGTTTTGCAAGCCGCTCTCTTGTCATCTCCTCCTGGAAAAGAAGTAGCACTTCACTAGTCGCTGAGCTCAAGCCCTCACCATCTTCTGACCAACCACCCCAAACCCTAAACCACAAACCCTAAACCCTAAACCCTCAAGACCAGTGTAAATAGAAATTGTGTGTGTTCACCGCCCCTCTCACCAACATCGAGCTTGCCAGACATGATTTCGAATGGCCTCCTGAAACCTCCTAAACAAAGAGCGTGCGAAATTCTGAGAAACGTCCAGCCAGAAACACGGCTTTTTTCCCCTAGCCCCAAAACCCAAAATTCTGCCGAAACAGCCACCAGAGGCTGTTTTAAAATCCTGAAGGCCCCCACAATGCAAATACCGAAACGCGCCCAAAGCCCGCCGCAAAAACCCCCAAGCCCCTTTCAACCCTATAAAACCTGTAAGCCCGATAAACCCTAGAAACCCTATTAACCCTTTAAACCTTATAAACGCTATAAACTCTATAAAACCCCCAACCCTAAACCCTAAACCCTAAACCCTAAACCCCAAACCCCAAACCCCAAACCCCAAACCCCGAACCCCCCCTAACCCTAAACCCTAAAACCAAAACCCCAAACCCCAAACCCCAAACCCCAAACCCAAAACCCAAACCCCAAAACCCCAAACCCCAAACCCCAAACCCTAAACCCTAAACCCTAAACCCTAAACCCTGAACCCTAAACCCTAACCCCAACCCCACCCCCCCCCCCCCCAGCGAAGGGGCCGTTGTACCACTTCTGCTCGAAGAACGCCTCGCAGGTCCGCCCCACCAGGGCAGTGTGGACCGACTTGCCCACCTTGGGTTTAGGGTTTAGGGTTTAGGGTTTAGGGTTTAGGGTTTGGGGTTTGGGGTTTAGGGTTTAGGGTTTGGGGTTTGGGGTTTGGGGTTTGGGGTTTGGGGTTTGGGGTTTGGGGTTTAGGGTTTAGTGTTTGAGGGGTTTAGGGGGGCTCGGGGTGGCTTTAGAGGGGGGCTTAGGGGGGTTTAGGGGGTTCAGGAAAGTTGGTGCTCTTCGGGGGGCTTAAAAGGGTTTTTGCGGCTCTCGCACAAGGCCGGCAAGGTTCAAACAGGAAAGCAAGCCACGAGAAATAGAACACATTACCCCCTTCAATATCCGGCGGCCCACATCAGGTCAAACCCTAAACCCTATAAACCCTAAACCCAATTCTGTAACACTGAAACAGGCCTTTCAAATGCCTCAAGAGCCAAGGCTCCCCGGCTTCTCCAAGGCTACAAAGACATGCTTTTAGAGGCGTCTTGTTCCCAGGGTTTAGGGTTTAGGGTTTAGGGTTTAGGGTTTAGGGTTTAGGGTTTAGGGATCTTCGGTTTATCAGCCGGGAGCTCTAAACCCTAAAGCCTAGAGCCCAAACCCAACACCCTAAACCCTGAACCCCACACCCCAAACCCCAAACCCAAAGAGCCCCTTCCCTAAACCCTAAACTAAGCCCAAAAACCTAAACCCTAAACCCTAAACCCTAAACCCTAAACCCTAAACCCTAAACCGAACCCTGTAAAGGACCAGCGGCCGAGCGAGTAGTCGGCTGGGGCCTTGGCTGGATGCGACCCTAAACCCTGCACGAACGCAAAAGAAGCCACCGGGTTTAGGGTTTAGGGTTTAGGGTTTAGAGTTTAGGGTTTAGGGTTTAGGGTTTAGGGTTTAGGGTTTAGGGTTTAGGGTTTAGGGTTTAGGGTTTAGGGTTTAGGGTTTAGGGTTTCGGGTTTAGGGTTTAGGGTTTAGGGTTTAGGGTTTAGGGTTTAGGGTTTAGGGTTTAGGGTTTAGGGTTTAGGGTTTAGGGTTTAGGGTTTAGGGTGCGTTTAGGGTTGAGGGTTTAGGGTTGAGGGTTTAAGAGCTTGGGGTGATATATGGTCAGATCTCTAAAGTCTGGTCCCTTTTGGGGTTACCATTCTACGGCGGCCCCTGATACTACGACACCCGAAAAGGGACCATAATCTAGAGAACTGAGCTTGTGGCTTAGACGCAACTCACCTCCCCGAACTCCCTCACCTCCCCCAAACCCCTCTGCCCAAAGGAAAAGCAACCGAAAACTTGAGCCCTAACCTCAAACCCTAAACCTCACTCCCTAAACCCCAATTTATTCGCGAAGCCTTAAGCCCTAAACCTGTTGGGGCTGGTTTCAATCCTACACCCTAAAACATTTAATTATCCTAAGACTGGACTGACTCGCCGGGAGGCGCACCGGCACCTCAAGTGCAACCCGCTATTTCTTGCAGGCATAAAAACCAAACACTAAGAACCGGGTGTTAAACCAGCCCGAAACCCTTTACCCCTCAGCCCAAAACCCTAAAACCTGAACCCCAAACCCTTTTCACAAAAACCCTGACACTAAGAGCCGAGGGGTTAAGCCCTAAACCCTAAACCCTATAGTTATAAACCCTGCACCATAGGCCGCCCGCGCCAGGCGGCGGCCGGTACAACTGAACGCTACCGCTTCGAGATCTGCTTGCTTTGCCAAGCAGATCGAGCTTGCCACACCTGATGCATTCCTGCTAGCCATAGGGCACAATGTAATAATGGATTAACCCTAAACCCCCGACGCGCGACCCCGGCGGGGGAGGTCGGGCCTAAGAAGCTGTTGCCCCCGCCAGGTTGCCCCCGCCAGGGTTGCCACCGCCAGGGTTGCCCCCGCCAGGGTTGCCCCCGCCAGGGTTGCCCCCGCCAGGGTTGCCCCCGCCAGGGTTGCCCCCGCCAGGGTTGCCCCCGCCAGGGTTGCCCCCGCCAGGGTTGCCCCCGCCAGGAGTTCCCCCGCTAGGGTTGCCCCCGCCAGGGTTGCCCCCGCCAGGGTTGCCCCCACCCCCCCCACCAGGGTTGCCCCCCCCGGCCAGGTTGCCCCCCCACCAGGGTTGCCCCCGCCACGCCAGGGAAGGGTTGCCCGCGCCAGGGTTGCCCCGCCAGGGTTGCCCCCGGCAGGGTTGCCCCTGCCAGGGTTGCCCCTGCCAGGGTTGCCCCTGCCAGGGTTGCCCCCGCCAGGGTTGCCAGGAATTGTGCACCTTCTCTGCGACGGCCCTACGCACCTCGTCCTCTTCGCGCGCTGGCGAGGCTTCGTCGTCCTTCTCTATGAAGTTTTGTTTAGTTGCCGAGCAGGGCTTCAAGTGCGAAGGGCCCTGTCAAAGTTCTCTATTAATTAATTGCCAGGGTTTCCCATTAGTAGTCACCCCCGCCAGGGCCCCGCCAGGGTTGCCCCCGCCAGGGTTGACATATATATATATATATATATATATGTAGAGAGAGAAACTTACTGGCCCAAAACCCAAGGAAATAAAAGTTGGAACTTTCAGAATAAACTACCTAATACTTTGGGAATCCAAGCCCGTTTAGGAAACCGCCTTTGCCGCTAGTTGGTTTTGGTGCCCCTAACGCCTATTTGGGGGCGATGATGCGCACCTCTAGCGCCCATGTAGATGATGACCGCAAAGATCCGCAAAGGAAAGAAGAGCTGAGACTTCAGCTCTGTGGTCCACAATGAAAAAAGCATGCATTCATGCACATTTGACGATGCGTCTATCTATGTCGTGCCGACCCTGGTCCCAACAGACATGATACTCATCGCACAAAAAAAACTTTGGATGTTCGCGACCACCTGTTGCCTGATGCTTGCCATGGGTTTGGATGACAATTGCAGTCCCACATGATGCCCTCCAGCTGCAAAATTGCGAACAAAAAGCACTGCTAGTTGGGAAGCTGCTTTCTGGCCCAAATAGATTCTGGGCTCAATCTGAAGATCTACATCCATCAAATAAGGACCACTTGCAGGTACTTGCATCATGAAGCGTGCTTTGAGGGAACGTCTTGGCCTCACGTAGGGTGGACAGCCCAAGCTATCGCGTGTGTCTGTGTGCCAGCATTTTTGGCGTGCTCACGTTGCTTTCGAACTTGCTGCAATGACATACGATGATTGCGGCGATCGCCTGTTCCAAGGAGCACTAGTGATCACACCACCGTGTTCGTGATTCACGCTCATGTGGGGCCTAATTGTGGTCTAGTTTTTTGCACAGGTGTTTCGGCCTTATAAGGGAAAACGGCCGTGAAAGGGCGTGAATCACGCGTGAAAACTGCGTGAAAACAGGTTTTTTTCGTGTGAAAGCAGGTTTTTTCGCGCGAACGCCCGTTTCGGGATTTGCCTGTTTTCACGACATCCTCTATCAGTAAAATCACACCAAAACAGACGTGAATCACACGTCAGTCTTGCGTGCACGCGCTTCGTCCTGCAACAAGACTTTATGTTCTGCTGCTTGGCCGCAGACATTTTTGCAGTGGCGCTACAAGCTTGACTCGTTTTGTGGGCTGGCTGACGCTATGCCTGCCTCTTTGGGCAAAGATGCCCAAGCTGCTCTTGCCAGGGCTGCAAAGATGACTCAGAAGCAGGCTTGGCTAGATTTCGCTGAAACCATTGTGTTGTCCTATTGTGAGTTGGTGAATATGCAGAGGCCTCACAGGTACCCTGTCTTTTGCGCTTATTTGTCGTCACTTTTCTCGGGAAGGCTCCGGGCACTGAGATTGAAGATGAGCAAGAGCCTGGGGTTGCATGTCTGAAAAATGCCACGAATTTGATATCGAAACTTGTATGGTCTCGATCTGATTTGGTATCTGAAGCACAATAAGACCGCAAGAAAACGAAGGCGCTGCAGTGGCCACTGATGGATCAGAAGCTTTGGCAGACTAAATGACACTTCTCCTCGGCAACACGTGCAAAGACCTCTCCAAACCTCAGGAAAAAAGAGTGCGTGAATCACCCTCGCCTGTTTCGGGAACCGCCTTTGCCTTAGAGCCTGTTTCTAAAACCTGTGTTTGACTTCTAGGGTATAGGAAGCCCAAAAGTTGAAAAGTTGGGTTTTGAGCCAGCAAGGAAATAAGAAAGTATTTTTAATACAAAAAAACCTCGCCTTGCCCCTTCCAGGGTTGCCCGTGCCAGGGTTGCCCCCGCCAGGGTCGCCCCCGCCAGGGTCGCCCCCGCAGTTACCCCCGCCAGGGCCCTTGCGCCAGTGGGTGGCCGGGCCTTCCGCGCTTGGCCCTCGCCATTCTGCCATATGAATGAGCTTGGGTCCGGAATTGGGCTTGAGGGTGTCTTAAACATAGTATGGGTGAAACAGATTGTCCCGCTCCCTGTTGATCCAGGAAAGTGTAGGCTCAAGCAACAGCAGCAGTCAACACGTCCCACCCCGGCCAGCGGGGAGACTCGAGGTGTAAGCCCCCTTGATAGGGGGGCCGTGGCGGGTAGACCGCTCTAAACCCGAAAAAGGCGGCAGTTTGGGTGGCTGGGGTGGGATCCGCCGCACCGAGGCGGCCCGACCCGCCACCACTGGCGCGGGTCGGGACCGCGGCACTTTGGAACACCCTAAACCCTAAACCCTAAACCCTAAACCCTAAACCTCCTGGAGCCCTAAAGGACCAAATTCCACGCCGGGATGCAGTGGTGGGGCGCTCGCCCGGCCGGCCGTCTCGGCGCCGGTCTCGGCTTCTGTAGGTGCCGCTGCCTCCGCAGGGGGTGTTTAGGGCGCTTTCAGTTGGGGTTTAGGGTTTAGGGTTTAGGGTTTAGGCTTTAGGGTTTAGGGTTTAGGGTTTGGGGTTTAGGGTTTAGGGTTTAGGGTTTCGGGCTTGAGGAGGCTGAGGTGTTGAAAGGTTTGGGCTGATGTTGAGGGCTCAAGGCTCTAAGGCATTCACCGCGTTCGGGCTGGCATGAAGACTCTGCAGGCGGCCGGGGCATGCTTTTCTTCAAATGCAAAGACAGTCGCTTCTGGCATAAGTCGGGTCAGATGGCACTTCGATCGTCCTGCGTTTACATCCGGTTCAGCCACAACCTGAGCCGTGACACAGCCCGTGCCACGGCCCGAACATCCCTCAACCGAAGGCAGCACGTCGGCACAGCTGTGTGACTGAGTTGGGCCTAAGGAAGACATGGCCCGGATGATATGAAGTAGGGTATATATCCATAACCTTACATACACTCACCAAGAACAGCAATATAAACCCTGCTTCATATCAATCCAGGCTTACTGGCTCAGTTGGCTCACTGCGTCAACAGCCACTGCGGGCTGCATGGATGCGCCGAAGAGGCTCAGGGGGATCGCAAGGAGTGCCGGAATGTCAGCCAAGTGGTTCACCTTACTTTCGGTTAGTAGGGAATGAGAATATGAGGGAAGGAGGGAATGAGGGTACCCTATATCCCCCTATAGCATACCCTTTAAGGGATTATATAGGGTAGCTCCTTCCCCCATTCCCAACTAACCGTTACTAACCAACAGCAAGTCACCAGGTAGGCCGAAGAGGGCCAATCGCCATTGAGCTCGGGTTGCCAGGGCTCATCGAAGTCGACCAGCTTGTGGTAGTAGAGAATGAGCCAAGGACCCACACCTTAGGGTTTTGGGTTTAGGGTTTAGGGTTTAGGGCTTGGGGTTTAGGGTTTAGGGTTACCGTTGGTGAGTCGGGAATGGGGGATTTAGGGTGCCCTATATAATCCCTTAAAGGGTGATTGGAGGGGGATGTAGGGTACCCTCATTCCCTCATTTCCTCGTAACCAACAGCAAGACACTGGCCAGCACGACGTTGAGTGCCAGCGCGAGGTTTCTGTCGACTTTCTTCCGGTAGACCAGGGTGGCCAGGAAGACCAGCACGGAGATGGTCAGGGACCCAAAGCACGGCTTGACCAGCCCCGTACGCAAATGGTCATTCACCTTACTGTTGGCTAGCAGGGAATGAGGGAATTCGAGCCCTATAATATACCCTTTAAGGGATTATGTAGGGTACCTTATATACCCCTTAAGGGATGATACAGGGCACCCTATATCCCCCCATTCTCTACTACCCAACAGAGAAGTCACGGCTGGGATGTTGGCGGCGGACCAGCCCCAGAACCCCGAAGGCCCCCGCCAAGTGTACACCGCCATGTAGGCGTTGTCGAAAACAGCACCCCCGAAGTTGAGGATGGAGTACACCCAAGTGGGCGTGTCATTCTGGATGCCTTGCAGTTTCTTGGTTTCAAGGAACTCTCTTAAGTCAGGTGCCTGGGAACCTCATCAACCTTGGTTCAACATGCCTGAATGTCATTAAACCCTATCGAAATAAACCCTCTTTTCAACGGAAACCCTAAGGTAACCCTACACCCTGGCTTAACATCCCTCAAACCCTAAACCCCAAACCCTAAACCCTACACCCTACACCCTAAACCCTAAACCCTACACCCTACACCCTAAACCCTAAAACCTAAACCCTAAACCCTAAACCCTAAAACCTAAACCCTAAACCCTAAACCCTGAAACCCTAAACCCTAACTGAACAAGAGCCCAGGTGCCCTTGACTCTCCTTTTGGCCGACTCTTGGAGAGCTGCTGGTACTGTGCCTGTGCGGTTCAGCAACCAACCCTGTTGCAACAGGGTTTAGGGTTTAGGGTTTAGGGTTTAGGGTTTAGGGTTTAGGGTTTAGGGTTTAGGGTTTAGGGTTTAGGGTTTAGGGTTTTCAGCAACCAGCCCTAAACGCTGAACCCTAAACCCCAAACCCTTGAGGGCAAGAGGGATTTGTTAAATGCATACCAAAACAAGAGATCCAGAAGAGCAAAAAGCCAAAAAGGCATACTGCAGAAAAGCACGGCACCCTCCGGAACGAGGGCGAGAATGTTGTCGGAACTCTCGAAAAGCTTCTTCACACTCCAGAACCAGTACGGCATGACGATCCAGTACAGCCAGGGGTACTGATACGACCAGGCGATGGCATGGATGCCCTGGAAAGAGATGATGAAGGAGTATGCAAGCTTGAAGAGCACGCGCTGCACCTCAGGACCACGGAAGTACTTGAGCAACGGCCACATCGTGATGTTGTTCACCATGAAGATGATCCACGTGGAGATCGCCCACAGCACACCCGGCGACTCACGCAGGCAGCGCTCCTCGATGATGGCGTAGAGAACCACCCCAATCTGCATGGCCCCAGTCGCGGTGTGCATCAACCCACCTAGACCCAAGAGCAACCTAGGAAAAAAAGAGTCGCCCTTTGCTGGTTTAAAGGGGCTTACAAGGGAACCCGAAACAAAACAAAAAAAAAAAACAGAGTACGGGCCTGCTCTGGGTCTTTTTGGGTTTAAGGGGCTTGTAAGGGAACCCAAACCCTTTATACAAAAAGGGAGTAAATGCACTGAGACCTAGAAACCCTGAACCCTAAACCCCGAACCCTAAACTACTCTGGGTCCTAGCCGCTGAAGGAGTTCGACTTCCTCTTGAGGAAGGCCATCTGGAGGAGTGAAAACAGGGAGACGGCCGAGAGAAGGCCCATGAAGCTGTCCTCGATGACCCCGCCCAAGCCTTGGGTCTCGTCGTAAGGATGAAACTTAGGTACAGGGTTTAGGGTTTAGGGTTTAGGGTTTAGGGTTTAGGGCTTAGGGCTTAGGGCTTAGGGCTTAGAGTTTAGGGTTTAGGGTTTAGGGTTTAGGGTTTAGGGTTTAGGGTTTAGGGTTTAGGGCTTTTTCTTGCTACCCGCTGAGCTGACCTCTCGGACACTCTGCAGGGAGATGTCTATGTCAAGTCAGTTCGTTCGCCTAACCCCTTCAGAGTCTGCATGAACCACCACATCCAAATCACAAAGGGCCAAAGACCCACCAAGGCATGAAGAGGCTACTCAGCAGTACTCCACAGGGGACTACGTGATGATCCTCGTTCAAGAGTGCAGGTACCTACTCGGAAAGGCACTGAAAGGTCCCTGCATGACTCATTCGCTCACCCCATGCCCGCCCCAAACAAAGACCCAAATACAGTTGGTAATGCAGGGACCTTCTGTCAAGAACTCAAGGTGTAGGGTTTAGGGTTTAGGGTTTACGGTTTAGGTTTTAGTAGGGTTTAGGGTCGAGGGTTTCTTCGCTCATGCTCGGACAAGCTAGGGTTTAGGGTTTAGGATTTCGGGGTACATAACAAAACATTGAACTCCTTCAGCAGCCTAGAAGCCAGGTGCATGGTTGGACCAGAGACCAGTCCAAACGTCCTGACTCCACTTTTCCACCGACAGCAGCCACGTTCCCAAAACTCCGGTGGCTTCCGTCGCCTCCTGGGATGCGAGGTTCTCGGCAGCCTGGACATCGGCCTCCACCGAACGCTCGACGCCTTGTACTGCCTGGCCAATGATGCGAAGGTCCTTGAGAGGAGGGTTGATAAAAGAAAAAAAACTCTAAACCCAAAACCCCTTTGCAACTGGGACTTGGTGACTGCCAGAAACCCTAAACCCTAAACCCTAAACCCTGAACCCTAAACCCTAAACCCTAAACCCTAAACCCTAAACCCGAAACCCTAAACCCTAAACCCTAAACCCTAGGTCTCTCTGAGAACCCTCTTAGGCTCCTTGTTGAAGAGGCCGATGTCCTCCGCCATGACCGCATCCGCTGGCTTGGCCTCAAAGAGGGACTGGCCCTCCACCTCCAAAGCCTTGGTGTTTAGGGTTTAGGGTTTAGGGTTTAGGGTTTAGGGTTTGGGGTTTAGGGTTTAGGGCTTAGGGTCTGGGGTTTTGGGTTTAGGGTCTGGGGTTTAGGGTTTAGGGTTTGGGGTTTAGGGTTTAGGGTTACTTTATAAGGGAACCCAGAACCAACACAAAAGAGGGCAAAGGGCACCCCTGGGCTGCCAAGAAGCCGGCACCGCCACTGAGGCGCTGATCTCCACCAAGCTGTCGGCAATTCCGAGGGCCAGCGCGGACAGGAGCCCGCCGGCGACTGGGCCTTCGGAGCTCAGCTCGGCTTGTGCGAGCGCGTCCTCCTCAGTCAATGCCTCTCCGGCCGGGTATCGCACGGGAATGCCGCGGACGAGCAGCTCGTTCCGGAGGTCTTCCACGTCACTCTCTTCCTCAACAGCCACTAACTCGCCTGCCACGCGAGCTAGGACTGTCTTCCCGCTCCAAGACACAATCATCACCTCTGTGATCTTGGAGTCGTCAACAAGACGCCAGAACTCCTCCTCCGTAACATTTCGGGCCATGTCAGCCTGGGTCCTGAGCCCCTGAAGCACCGGCGCATCAGCCACGGCACCGAGCCGGCGGATGTCATTCGACGGGCCAATCCTTCTCAAGGCCTTGGGCCCGCAGACAAAGCAGCAGGCGCTCAAGGTCGTGAGGAGTCCAAGGAGGATCAGCGGCGAGCCCGGACGCCGGGCAAGCCGGGACATGACCGACAACTTCGCCGCGTGTCGTTTTCAAGCCCAGGCCAACTGCATAGCACAGGACGTGCGCAAGTTTATCGCCACACCTGCTTGGAGAGGTTTTGAGACTTGGTACCCTGTTAGGCAGGGGTCAGGGTGTCAGAACCTAGAAATGCAATGCAATGTGGCGCATCGTTAGTGCGTCATTGAGCCTGAGCACTACGGGTTCAAAGAGGAAGCAAGAAGAAAAGCACCGGAGCGTGGGGACTCCACGCCAGGGGCTCAGAAGCAAGCGCTGTGGGAGTATGGTGCCACAAGAGCTGCACCCTCATAAATATGCTCTCAGAACTCGCCGTTCATGCCCTCACCTGGTACTTGACCAAGTCCTCTGTCAAGACAATGACCTGGGCACGAAGCGGAGGGGTCGCTAGGCCGCTTGGGCCTTTGCCCACGGTGGAATGATTCAGAACGCTCGAACGTCGACGCCCTAGGCCCACCCTGGAATGTGAGGCCGCGACCTCTGTGAGGTCGTTCTTCAGCTTCACCAGGGACGGTTCATCGGGCTGCTGCTCGAGGGCCTGTTGAGGGTTTAGGGTTTAGGGTTTAGGGTTTAGGGTTTGGGGTTTGGGGTTTGGGGTTTGGGGTTTGGGGTTTGGGGTTTAGGGTTTAGGGTTTAGGGTTTAGGGTTTAGGGTTTAGGGTTTAGGGTTTAGGGCTTAGGGTTTAGGGTTTAGGGTTTAGGGGAGTTTAGGGTTTAGGGTCTAGGGTCTAGGGTTTAGGATTTAGGATTTAGGTAGGGACGCCCTGCTTCGGGCATCGGACCTGAGGGTTTAGGGTACCCCCGGAAAACAAGGGCCCATAATACAGAGAATCCCCTCCTAGTGCAAACCTTCTGCGAGCGAAGCTCATGAGTTCCCCATGGTTAAGGCTTTTTTGGGATAATTAAGCTTAGTTAAGGCTAATTCGGGAGGGGGAACCTAGGGGGGGAGAGGCCCCAAACCCTAAACCCTAAACCCTAAACCCTAAACCCCAAACCCTAAACCCTAAACCCTAGGGGGGTTCGCATAGGGCTAGTAGGGGAACCCAAAAAAGAAGCCGACCGCCTCCTCGACTTGGGCCAACTGCTCACGATAGGTGTCGAGCTTGGTTAGCAACTCTTCGGCGGACTGCTGGAAGTCCATGGTGGCCTTTGGGCTTTGCTGCCCGAAATTTAGGGTTTAGGGTTTCGGGTTTAGGGTTCAGGGTTTAGGGTTTAGGGTTTAGGGTTTGGGGTTTAGGGTTTAGGGTCTAGGGTCTAGGGTCTAGGGTCTAGGGTCTAGGGTCTAGGGTCTAGGGTCTAGGGTCTAGGGTCTAGGGTCTAGGCTTCGGGGCTTCCAGGGGGCCCGATATCCCTGATTGTGAAGGAGTGTGCTTTAGATCTCTCTAGGCCTGTAGGGCTCAGGGCTTCCTACTGCGACACGAGAAGCGCCTTGGTGGGAAAACCGGCGCTCAAGACTTGCAGGCATTGTACAACTGAACCAGCTCCCAGGACAACAGTAGGGTTTTTTGGTCCACCGGGTTCAGGGTTTAGGGTTTAGAGTTTAGGGTTTAGGGTTAGGGTTTAGGACCCCCAGTGGCAACCTAAAACAGCAACTGACCTTCAACAACGCACGGCACACTGCCCGCCAAGCCACCGTTCGCAATGGCTACTGCTCTCTCCAAAATGATCTCCGAGGCGAAACGGCTTCGTCAGATAGTCACGCACCAGCTTGACCACACTTGACTACACTTCAACGTCTTGCAACACTGTTGCCCCGCAACCCGACTGCAAAAACCCGAAACTCGAGCCGGCGCTGAGGGTCAGATCTGGAGACTGTGAGGCCCTGGCACTGCTGGCAGATCCCAGCCTTAGTAAGGGCCGATCATGGGGCTTTCTTTTGCCACCTGCCTAGCTGACTGACAGTCGCACTGCAGGGAACATCACACGTTACTGCTTGCTCGGGAAATATGTAGAAATTTCCATATCTCGTTCAACTGCAACAAGTTCCCAGCCAGTCTAGCCGGACTCCAAGGACCCCCCAAACCACACCCATTCTCAACAGCAACAGCCAACAAATTAGACCCCGCGGTCACCTGCGACTCTCACACTCGCTGAAGCAGGCAAGGGTTGGGGCTTTAGGGTCTGGGGTTCAGGGTGCTAAGAAGCACTCCGCGGCAGCAAAAGCGACGACAAGTGCTGCGCTGGAAGCGCGCGCACGGGACCGAGGACAGTGCGTGGCACCTTGAGGGGGCCAAACGAACGCGAACAGGGTTTATGGTTCATATGACCTTAATAGGAATTCTAGCAGTAGAGGGCACATGACCCCCAATTTTAGGGTTCATGTGGTCCCCCAAGGCATGAGCGCAGCGTGTGCACGACACCTAGGCGAGAGCACCTTGGCGAGAGCACCATGCGGCAAGCAAGTGCGTCTCTGCCACGCCTTTATCGCGACACGAATTCCAAGCAAGCATCCAAAAAGTGCCACAGGACCAAGCCGAGCGCACGATTTAGAACACGGAAGCGCAGAGCGCGAAATGCAGATGCCCCCGAGACAGACGCAGGAAGACGAAACCCTTAACCCTAAACCCTAAACCCCAAACCCTAAACCCTTTTTAAGCACGGACTGAGGAAGCTGCCGGCGACACCTGAAAGTAGCAAGACATGCACCAACCCTAAACCCTAAACCCTGGGGGGGGACCTAGGCGGCCCCCAGGGTGCCAAGAAAAAAAGCCCCCATGGACCTGAGAGTTGATGCCTGGTCTTCTTCTCCCGCCCTTGGCCCCTGGATATTAGAAGGGAATGAGGGACTTACCCTTTAAGGGACTCTGTAGGGCCAGAATTCCCTCATTCCCTACTAACAGCTGCTACACGTGGCGCCAGCTGACAGGCCCACAGGGGCCCACATGAAGGCCCGCGCACTTCCCGATCAGCCAAGGCGAGGGTGACAATGAACTCGGTTCCTCATGGGGGTGGTTTAGGGTTTAGGGTTTAGTGTTTAGAGGTTAGGGGTGAGGGTTCAGGGTTCAGGGTTTAGGGTTCAGGGTTCAGGGTCCAGGGTTTAGGGTTTAGGCTTTAGGGTTTAGGCTTTGGGGTTTATGGTTTGGGTGGGGTGGGATAGGTCGAAGGTTTGGGTAGACATGGCCACAGGTTCAAGATGTGCTGCGCAAGTGGGCCGGGGGCCGGGGCGGCTTCGAATTGAGGGTTCAGGGTGTGGTAAGGGCTTAGTAATCTAGGAACACAAAAAAATGTTACGCCCATGAACATTGCCACTCTTTGCGTTCTAGCTTCTGGTACAATCATCACCTGTAAAATGTTGTGCAAATGCTAAACTTAGTGTTGAAGATATGGGCCTCCTAGTATAACCGATCGAAACCAGACCACCTGAGCAAGCCCTAAAAGTCCAAGCCCGAGAATGCAAGGCAAAAGGCAACAACCGGCCTTTTGCTGCAGTGGGTCCGCTGAAGACCTCCGAAGCGATGGGGATGACAGTGGCTGGGCCGGGGTGGGCTTCCACCCTGGCCGGACCCTTCTCCATGAGAGGCTCCCTAGAAGGATCCCTCCTGTGGTGAATACTCGCTGGTCATTCTTTCAAGTGATGGGGCGTGCTATATACGCTCGGCATGAAGGTGGTACCCTAAACCCTAAGCCCTAAACCCTGTTGTCATGGACGCACGCGCCACGCGCCATGTGTCGCACCCTGGAACGGAGGTGGCGCAAAGTGTAAAACCTTCAACTTGGGATGGTCCCCCCCTTATACTAACAGTCCGTAATAGGGACTCCAGTACCCCCCCCCCATTAGATCCCTACTAAGGAGCTGCTGGTATAAGGAAGAACATCCCAACCTTAAACCCTAAACCCCTAAACCCCTAAACCCTAAACCCTAAACCACTAAACCCCTAAACCCTAAACCCTAAACCCTCAAACCGTTTCCGACCAGCCACTGCGCCTCGTCCACACTGACCTTGTCCCCGAAGCGATACCGGCAGAGCGCGTTGACCACCTCACCCACGCAGGGTTTAGGGTTTAGGGTTTAGGGTTTAGGGTTTAGGGTTTAGGGTTTAGGGTTTAGGGTTTAGGGTTTAGGGTTTGGGGTTTGGGGTTTCGGGTCTAGGGTTTGGGGTTTAGGGTTTAGGGTTTCAGGTTTTGGGTTATTGGCTTTGGGTTTAGGGTTTTCCGAAAGTTGCAGTCTGGGTAGGCGCCTAGAAAGACCCTGACACGAAACCCTAAACCCTAAAACCCTAAACCCTAATCAAACGAGACCTGAAACCCGAAGCAACCCGAAACACATCAACGCCCAGACGCCCTGCATCCTTAGACCATAAACCGATAGGGGTTTCGGGTTTAGGGTTTAGGGTTTAGGGGTTAGGGTTTAGGGTTTAGGGTTTAGGGTTTAGGGTTTAGGGTTTAGGGTTTAGGGTTTAGGGTTTAGGGTTTGGGGTTTAGGGTTGAGGGTTTAGGGTTTAGGGTTTAGGGTTTAGGGTTATCCCCATTAAGGACTGTTTGAAGAAGGGGGAACATCCCCAACTAAGCCGCTTCTTCATGCCTTGGACACTCCGTCCCTCAACTCCAAGCCCCTGAACCCTCAACCCTCAACCCTCAACCCTCAACCCTCAACCCTCAACCCTCAACCCTAAACCCTAAACCCTGAACCCTGAACCCTGAACCCTAAACTGAACCCTTCGACGTCCTGAGGTTCTAGCGTTGCGGGCCGTGTCACAAGACTCCTCCGCCACCCACTGGGCATCAACCTCCTTGGCTCCCGGATTCAGGGTCTAGGGTTTAGGGTTGAGGGCTTCGGGTTTCTTGCAACCTGCCTGGCAGCCTCGCAACCACACTGCAGGGATGCAAAACGCCCTTCGTGAGTATCACTAGGGCTTCTTTCGGGGCTTAGGGCTTAGGGTCAGGGCTCCGCAAGACGACGTGCACCAAGTTCTGTGTCCTCAGAGCCCCTCCTTCTGCCGAGCCTTGTTGTTGTTTCGGAATTTGGCCCCCAGAAGCCCGGGGCTCCCCCAGAACAAGAGGTGAGCGCGAAAGTCGAACTGACACAAAAAAGGATCGAGCTCCGAGGTGAGTGGAGACACACCTCATGTCGGGCACGCAGAGTTTCTGGAAGGCTCTGCACACTACCCTAAACCCTAAACCCTAAACCCTAAACCCCAAACCCCAAACCCTAAACCCCAAAGCCCACATCCTGAGCTTGGGCTCCCACCGGGAGACCTTCCGACTGCATGGCCTGCGGTCCACCATCCTCAGGCATCGGCTTTTGGGGGGGGGGGCCTCTTGGTGCTTGGGTCAGACCAAAGTAGGTAGCAAGAGCTTCTTTGAGCTATGTAGTAGGCAAGGAAGGACTGGGCATATTTTTGCTTGGTACTAAACCTGGCATCACTCATATCTTATTTCTTATCTTCTTCTTTGTTCTCTCTATTCTGTTTTTTTCCTTATCTTCTTCTTCGTTCTTATTGATTCTATGGTTATTATTATTCTTTGCTCCTCTTTAGAGCACCCCGCAGGCCCACAAACTGAGGCCTCAGAAGAGCAAGGCCAGCCCCGGCCAACAATGTTCTGGCCCTCATACTTGCCCCTGAGCCCGAAACCCTAAACCCTAAACCCCAAACCCCAAACCCTAAACCCTAAACCCTAAGCCCCAAACCCTAAACCCTAAACCCTAAACCCTAAGCCCTAAACCCTAAACCCTAAATCCTAAACCCTAAACCCTGAACCCTGAACCCTGAACCGATGAAGAAAAACGGCGCCTCGCGCTTGCCGCAAGCCATGATCCACCCATTTGGCGCCTTCCCCAAAACTTCGATCAAAGCCCTCAGCCCTGCCTCAAGATGTTGCGAGATAAGCATATGGTCTCCTGCTCAACATATCCTGCTCCAAAACCTCAACCGGCCTACACCCCCCTTTTTGCCCTTACACCCTTCTGCATCCCTTTTTATCCTCAACCGGAAACACCGAACCCCTTCTGCAAAACCCTAAACCCTAAACCCTAAACCCTAAACCCTAAACCCTATCTTAAACCCACAGAGCCCAGGGCACCCATTTTCCGTGAGCCTGGGAAGGTCGCGATGCCTCCTCGCGCTCGGTCTGTGGACAGTGTCGGCCATCACGGCGTTGAGCGGGGTGAAGCCCCATTCCCAGAGACTCCAATACCCTAGAAAGAAGTGGGAGATTCCTCAAAGCATACCGGGAACCCTCCTAGACTGTTAAGGACTCTTCCCTTAAATTGAAGGGGGTATCGGAGTCTCTGAGATTCCCCCCAGCTGCGAAAAGCTTCTTAAGAAGCCGTTTGACGTTCGGGGGAGCATTGGGTGGGGCATTGATCAAGAATATGCCAAGAGCCCTGCCTAGATTCGTCAGGATAGGGTTTGGTTTAGGGTTCCCAGACCCCTGAGAGGATCCAAAAAGTAGATCCCTCAAGGGTTACTAAGAATGACCCAACAGTAGTATGGGGTACTATCTGGCGGTTCTATGCTTTTGGATCCTCCCGGAGTCTGGGTTGAGGCCTAGAATTTTAGGTCTCGGGTTCAGAGGCATTCAGGCTGTGAAGGGCTCGCAAGCCTTCAGAGATTCAGGAGCAGTTTAGGGCTTGGGGTTTCGGGTTTAGGGAAAAGGGTTTAGGGTATCCGAGCCCCTTGAATCCTCCGCATGCTGCATGCGGGCTTGTCGAGACTTTTTCCGGATGCAGGCTCCTGTGATTATTATTGCCGGCTATGACTATCTGCAATCTTCTGCTCCTGTCACTACTTTTCGGCAATTCTTAGCGTTAAGATTGCTTAGTTTGGTGTTGCAGGGCAGTCAGCTGGGGGAGGCTCACCCCAAGGGTGCTTTGTGCAGAAAGGCCTCAACCGATTTGGTTGACGACGGCTGAGAGAGCAAAAAACGCATGCCTCGACCCATCTCTGAGCTTCGAGCGAAGTATTCGGATACCTTGTCCAGTGGTTGGGTGGTTTTGGACCCGGCTTTAAAGATCCCTAAAGGGAATATAAGGGCCATGTTAGGAGTATATTAAGGTCCACGAATCTGGGACATCCGAACATTGAGCTTGGGACGTTGAGGCATACTGCTTTCACAACTAGGTCACTAGGTGAGTGGCTGCGCCAGCACCTCTGTAAGATCTGCAACGCGTTGGGCACAACAAGCATGAAGAAGCCCTCGACTTCGGAGATACACTACGCAACGAAGATCACACCTGTGCCATCAACAGCAAAGCTGGTTCCCGCTTGCATCCGGGACATCTGGCACTGCTGCCCCGGGGAACTCCGGCTACGGCGACTTAAGCAACTCATCTCAAATTAAGGGAGGTGAGCGATAAAGGCCCGGGCAAAGCAGCTTGAGGCAAACTCGGGTCGCGCAAATCAGAGTTTAGGGTTTCATAGCTAGGTGCTGAGGACCCGGAGCCTTCCCCTCCCCAAGAGACACTCATCAAAATCGCTGGTGGGTTGTGAGCGTTCTGTGTCGCTGGCAGGCTCAGTTCAGGAACTGCGACAGCCATTGAAACGCCTGACAGGCCATCTCATCACAGACCCTACACCCCACGTATACCCTATGGGGCAAGTGCTCCAAGATCACCTGCAAGACAAACACTCCGCCTCTTCAACACAAGCCTTGCTCTCAAGAGCTACATCCCAAGCTTGCCCCCCCCCCCCCCCCCCGCTCTTTTGAAAAAAGTGGACCGCGCAGCTGGAACACGATCCTTGCTTCCCTGGCAAGGCCTCCGCGTAGCCCATTCTCTTCACCACCTCAGAACGCACAAACCAGAAGCTATGCGCATGCACAAATATTGTATGTATGTATGTATGTATGTATGTATGTATGTATGTATGTATGTATGTATGTATGTCTGTGTATGTATGTATGTATGTATGTATGTATGTATGTGTGTGTATGTGTGTATGTGTGTATGTGTGTATGCGTATATGATGCATACAAATACAGAAAAGGGTGTGTTCGTATGTAACAAGGGCTTAGGGGTTGCGTGAACAGAGTTGGGCCCCTAGACCCTGAAGGTCTAGGGTTTAGGGTCTAGGGTTACGGACAACACAACAAGCATCAACTACAACGTCGCTACAGATACAGGGGTCGGTGTATGCGCTCAGCCGACACCTCCTCTGAGGCCACCACCCTCTAGAACCCAAACACCTAGTTCCCGGCCCAGCTGGAATTGCCCTAACCCTAAACCCTAAACCGCCTAAACCCTAAACCCTAAACCCTTTTTTGCGTGTTGAAATCGCCGAGGCGACGTTGGCCCGTCGTCAGAAACCCTAAACCCTAAACCCTAAACCCTAAACCCTAAACCCCAGGTGTGGTGTCGCAGGTGGAAGCTCTCGGTACTGAACCTCCGTCCTTGCCGGTGTCTGCATCCAGAACGAGGATGCTGCGGGCGAATCTGCCGGGCAGGATCACCGCAGCGAGGCGGTCGTGGCCTCGAACATGTCCTACGGCAGGGAGAAAGTTGCAAGACTTTGGCAGGATCTTCTCCCACGCCATTGTGCCTGAGTCGAGTCATAGGCGCGAGCGACGCCTGGTTGACCAACAGTTCCCCTGCTATCAGCATTGCCATTCTGTCCGAGGAGAAGGACTCTGGAGCTCTGTGCTGCACTTCCCTCCCAGTCTGGAGCGAGAGGCTTGTACATTCCACCTGTGCCTTACATGAAGACTACTGAGCAGCCATCGGGAAAAAGAGGCGACAGATTCCAGACCATAATACTCCCAGAGTTGGTCCTGCTGTCTCCGCATCCAGGCCGAACACTTTCGAGTTGCCCCCGATCTTCGGATCCTCGCGCCCGCCTCAAGCCTGAAAACGAAGACTCGGTTTCGCCCGAACAACCTTCCCAGTGTTCCGGCCGACTGCAACAGCCGTGGTCGTGCTCAACAGATGCCTTGTTCTGTCATCAGGTACAGGTTCGAGTCTTTGCCGACTTGCCAGGGAGGAGCGGACCCTCAGCGGATACCATAGTCTGACCGTGCCCTCGAAAGGTGGGCCAACCCCTGAGCCCTAAACTACCTAAACCCTAAACCCTAAACCCCAAACCCTAAACCCTAAACCCCAAACCCTAAACCCTAAACCCCAAACCCCAAACCCTAAACCCCAAACCCCAAACCCTAAACCCCAAACCCTAAACCCTAAACCCTAAACCCCAAACCCTAAACCCTGCTGCCCCACGGGAGGTCGACTTGGGCTTGAAATGGGCGGGTGCGCCTTCCTAGCTTACTGTCGCTTTGTAGGGCATGAGGGAATGAGGTGCCCTGTCTTTAGGGTTTAGGGTTTAGGGAAGACTCAGACAGCTCAGCTCCTGGCGCTCACCATGAAGAGCTCGACGGGGCGGACTTGACTGTCGCCCTTCTTGGCATCCTGAGTTTTCTCAGAGAGCTCAATAGTCCTTAAGCAAGGAAACTTGCAAGAGATTCCAGCATGAGCTTAGATCAGGGACTGCGCCATAAGTTCTAGGAAGAGGGGACATGCAAGAATCTGGGGAACATGAATTACACAACAAGGTATTGGAACGGGATGACTTGCATCAACAGAAAGCCGTCGTGATTATGAAGGGTTGGGTGTTTCGGGCGTTTGCCCTTCTAGGCTTAGGGCTTTGAAACCCTCTCAGCCCACTCCATCCCAGAAAAGAAACCCCACATGTTGCGTTGCTTATCAACCTTGCAAGTCACTGCACACCCTGTGCTTTTGACAAAGGCATGGGGGGGGGGGGGGGGTGGGTTATAGAAACGAAAGCACCAAGGTCACCGAAACCCCTAAACCCCCAAACCCCTAAACCCCTAAACCCCTAAACCCCTGAACCCCTAAACCCTAAATCCTAAACCCTAAACCCTAAACCCTAAAGATCCCCCGCCCGGCGGGGGATTCTGGAAGCAAAAAAGGCTCCGAATCCCAAGGCCTCAGAGAGCCTCGGGAGAGCCCTGGCACCTCCCGGACTCGACCTCGAGTCATCTTAGGATCCCCAGACTCCTAAGTCAACGAAGGGCTTCGGGTTTAGGGGTTTCGGGGTTTCGGGGTTTGGGGTTTAGGGTTTAGGGTTTAGGGTTTAGGGTTTAGGGCTTAGGGCTTAGGGTTAGGGTTTAGGGTTTAGGGTTTAGGGCTTAGGGTTTAGGGTTTAGGGTTTGGGGTTTAGGGTTTAGGGTTTAGGGTTTAGGGTCTAGATATTTAAGGGTTTAGCTACGCGAGGCCCGACGAAGCATCGCCTGAGGCCGTGGCACGTCCGTAGGTCATGTGACCTCAGGCATGGCTTTGGGTTTAGGGTTTAGGGTTTAGGGATTAGGGTTTAGGGTTTAGGGTTTAGGGTTTAGGGTTTAGGGTTTAGGGTTTAGGGTTTAGGGTTTAGGGTTTAGGGTTTAGGGTTTAGGGTTTAGGGTTTAGGGTTTAGGGTTTAGGGTTTAGGGTTTAGGGTTTAGGTTTTAGGGGTTAGGGTTTAGGGTTTTAGGTTAGGTTTAGGGTTAGGGTTTAGGGTTTAGGGGTAGGTTTAGGGTTTAGGGTTTAGGGTTTAGGGTTTAGGGTTTTGGGGGGGGGGGGGGTTGGAGCCTGGCCTGGGAGTTCACAGATTTACGGCGTTTTCTTTAAGGTGCTTAAGGGTGAGGCCCTTGACCCACCCCTCCAGCACTTTCTCGTCCTAGTTCTTGATAGGGAAATGGGGGATGAGGTACCCCATAGCCCCCTCCAACTTTAAACCTTAAGCCTTCGGGTTGAAAGGGCGAGTCGCGGAATTTGGGAGCTTACGGTTCAAGGATCCAGGTTTCAAGCTGAGAAGGGCTTAGACGTGGAGGGCTGTGGTTACTTTGGTTTCAGGGGATTCTGAGGGTCTTTAAGGTCCCTAAACCCTAAACCCTAAACCCTAAACCCTAAACCCTAACCCTAAACCCTAAACGTAAACCGCAAGTTGTAGGCTTCAACTTCGAGTCTGAAGCCTCACATCGCCCCACACACACCTCGCGCGAGCCGCACCCGGGATTCCGGCTCAGAAGCCCAAGGGCCTCAGAGCTCTGCTCGAGGTTTTTACGGGTTTAAGGTTTAGGGTTTGGGGTTTAGGTTTTAGGGTTTAGGGTTTAGGGTTAGGGTTTAGGGTGCGTAGTGAGCTGCAGCCCTTAAGGCGCCTTGCCGGCGTGCGTCCTTACCCCACCGCACACTCTACTTGTGAGTGTTGGGGCGGGCAAGGGGTGGGCACATTATATTGACCAGGTATAAGGTCTTTCAGAGGTTATGACGCCCAAACTCACGCTTGCTGCGTGACTTCGTGGAAGGTGGCCGGGACTCAAGAAGCTTGCAGCTGCAGGGCCTGGTGATGGAGCATTCTTGGGGGTTGCCGGGAACTGGGGGGCTGCCTGGACCAAAGGCACGAGATGCTGGAGATGCTGTGGAGATGCTATGGGGGTGGTCTGGACTCTGGGGCGGCTTGGCCATGGGTGGTGTCACTTAGGTTGCTTGGTGGTTGCTGGTCTTGGGCGGCACGGGGCATGCTAGGGCTGTGGGCGGCGCAAGAGGCGTGGCAGCTACAGCAGCGTGCTATTAACAGGGATGGCTGGGCGCCTAACAGTCGGTGCGGTGGCTCAAGCCCGACGGCCTAGTCGACAGGTTGGGGGGAGCTGCAGCGGGGAAGCACTCCATCCCTGCGTGTTGGAGTGGGGGGAGTGCGTAGTGAGCTGCAGCCCTTAAGGCGCCTTGCCGGCGTGCGTCCTTACCCCACCGCACACTCTACTTGTGAGTGTTGGGGCGGGCAAGGGGTGGGCACATTATATTGACCAGGTATAAGGTCTTTCAGATAGGGTTTAGGGCTTAGGGTTTGGGGTTTGGGGTCAGAGCTTCGGGTTGCGAGCTCCAAACCCTCCCACTCGTTGCGACCGACTCTTCCTGACCTTCTCGAGACCACCACGCGAGAGTCGCAAAGCACAGATCGAACTCAACCCGTGCTGACAAACATGTGAAAAAAGAACCCATCTCAGCCCCCCGAACTTTCGCACCGAACCTAAGAGCCCTGCACCTCACGACCGCACCCCTAAACCCTAAACCCTAAAGCCTAAACCCTAAGCCCTAAACCCTAAACCCTAAACCCTTCAATCCCCGCCCCCCGAAGTGCTCTGAGACCGCGACATTGCGGAGCTCGTCCTCCGAGGCGGCCGTGGGGATGTCGATCTTGTTGCCGAGCACCACGAAAGGCCTTGGGGACGCATGCGAGGGCTTAGGGTTCAGACATGACATTTGCAGACCATGTAATTAGGCAGACGCTACCACATACCCGTATGTGTATATATATACACGCATACTACTAACAGCATAGAATAGTCATAGCAACAATCAGCCTCGGTCAAGTCAAGTCATTCTAAACGCCTAAGAGCTCTCTCGCGCGCTCACGTCCGCAGCGAAGAAGCCCTGAACCCTAAGCCCACGTGTGCCCTGGGTGCCCAGCACGCTGGCCAGGGCCTGTTCCTGCAAAAGGCCGCTGAGCTCCTCCTGTGCCTGCCGAGTGGGGATAAAACCCAAAGCCCTCAAAGACGATACGACCTTGCCCAGGAAGGACCCTTGAGCTGTAGATGACTTCTGTGGCGCACCTATGACCGATCCGACTCGAGGCCCTGACCCCTGTTGACCCTAATCCCTGCAACCAAAGGACTGCCCTAAAAGGCCCGGACTGCACCAAATGACAGGCTGCCTCCTGAAATCGTGTGCGGTCTGCTGCATCGACCTCGCAAAAGGCAGCAGGGATTTGCAGGACTTCATGGGCCTTCTCGGGTTTGTGGCTTCGTGGCTCACTCTCGCACCACGGCTTGGGGTTGTAGGTTTCCGGGGCGGTCCAAGATCTGTTTCTCAGGGTTTGGGGCTTGCAGCTTTGAGCTTCAGGTCGTCACCTCCTCCTTGCGGCTTGCGGCTCTTGCCCGCGGCCTGCCTAACTTTTCTTCAAGAAAGAGAAAGTCGGCGCACTGGAGGTTTAGGGTTTTTGCCTTAGGGTTCAGGGGAAATAGGGTTTCTAGGGTTTAGGGTTGACAGCCCAGCATACACCCGACACCCGAAAAAAGGCACACGTGGGGCCCCCGGGCCAGGAAGATGATGCCATCCACGGTGGCGAAGTAGTCCTGCCGTCGGCGCAGTCTCGAAGTTCGCCGGCTTTAAGGGCCCTGGGGAACCTCGCACCTTGGGAGTTGAAGGATTTTTGAAAAAGAAAGCCTGACACCCTTACCTCAAACCCAGAACCGCCCTAAACCCTAAACCCTAAACCCGTAGCCCTTCCCAAAAACCCTTGTTGAACCCGGGCCAAACCGTTCCTAAACCCTAAGACTTGATATAATTGTAGGAACTGATCTTGTGGCCTCCCAGACCGGAAAGCCCAGGACCCTTCAGTCAGGAATACACTGTGACCCAGAACAAAGATGGAATATGAACTGCGGTACATTCCTCTAGTAATTCGGATTCGGTGCGAGGAGCAGGGATGCAAAAAAAAAAACGGAAGGAGTCCTAGAATGGGACGAACCTCACCAGGGGCTTCAGGAAGTCCTTCCCTAAACCCGTAAACAAATCCTTTGCGACCGAACAGCCCTAAACCCAAACCCCACAACAGGGGCCCCAAGGGCACCCTAAACCCTAAACCCTAAACCCTAAACCCCACAAGGGTCAGCCCCCAAACAAGTCCTTCCAGATGCGGCGGGCCGTCTCGTGCCCGCCAAGGTCGTAGGTGCGGAAGCGGATGTTCTTGATCATCAACTCCTGGAGGCCCCAGCTTGCGGCTTCTGCTACTTTTTTGGTTGTTGGGTTTAATGAGGGTTTGGGGTTTAGGGTTTAGGGTTTAGGGTTTAGGGTTTAGGGTTCGGGGTTTGGCCTAAACCCCGAACCCTAAACCCTAAACCCTAAACCCCAAACCCTAACTAAGGGCTTAGGGCTTCGCAACATGTCTGTGCGAAGGAAGCTTGCAAACCCCAACGCGACGCTTCCGACAGCAGTGTGTGCTACTCACCTGAACAAGAGCCTACCTACCTACCTACCGACCCACCTACCCCTTCTGCTTACCCTACTGCCTACCCCTACTATTACCCACCCCTTGGGCAACCCGCCCTTGCTCCTCATCTAAGGGGTGGCTACATGGTCCCTTAATGCGGTCCCTTACCTTCTTCAAAGGGTTCTAAAGATATGGGCACTGGGATATTGTAGGGTAAGGGGTGCACCAGGGGGTCCCCCATTTAAGGGCCAATACGAAGGGACCATGTAACCCCCCTCAACCCTAAACCCTAAACCCTAAACCCTAAACCCTAAACCCTAAACCCTAAACCGTGCTGAGGCCGAAGCCTGTGACGGGAAGGGCATACAGTGGCCCTCTCCGAGCCGCCAAGCAAACCCTCAACCCTAAACCCCAAAACGCTAAGCCCTTTTACATCCCTAAAACCCCTAAACCCTGAACCCCTTTTTTTGCATCTGAAACCCTGAAACCTTTTTCCATCCAAACCCTGAACCCTAAAACCCAAAACCCTTTCTCCAAGAGACTTCGCCCGCCTCGACAACCCAAAACCCTAAACCCTGAACCCCACACCCGAAACCCCCAAACCCTAAACCCTAAACCCGGTCAAGGCCCAATGTCATGCCAGGGCTGGCAGCTCCTCGGAGTGCGGGTGCAGAGTCGGGACGTGAGTCGCAATGCGGTCATCCTTCAGCATGTGGAGCCTGCTTAGCGTTGAGAGTTTAGAGTTTAGGGTTTAGGGTTTAGGGTTTAGGGTTTAGGGTTTCGGGTTTAGGGTTTAGGGTTTAGGGTTTAGGGTTTCGCGTCCAGCGGCTTGGATGGCTGCAACTTGCGGTGTCTGGGGTGCAGCCGTGGAACAGAGTGGTCTTGCCGGCATTGTCGAGTCCCAAGAAGAGGATCTTCGCATTCTTGTTGCCCAGCCCGAGGTATCCTTTTCTGGGATGGCCCTGACACCCCTCTGAAAATACTTCCGAATATGATCCTCTTAAACCCAATAAAGGAGATATGAATGTATTAGGGTTTAGGGTTTAGGGTTTAGGGTTTAGGGTTTAGGGTTTAGGGTTTAGGGTTTAGGGTTTAGGGTTTAGGGTTTAGGGTTTAGGGTTTAGGGTATTCCCTGAATATGATTGAATATGATCCGCTTAAACCCAAAACAGGAACATATAAAGCGTCCCAAGGGCCTACCTAGCTTTGCATGTCGGAACTGAAAGCGACCGACTCCCTCGCCCGAATGATCCCTACCGCCAGTGCGGCTGCGAGGCCCAGGACGTCGAAGAACCAGTTCACGATGAACATCTCGAACTGGGCACGACAGCCGACTGCACACTTGGGGGGGGTTTGCCGAGTGTCTAAATGGGGATATGGAACACTTGCTTCGGAAGGGCCCAATGCGAACAACCCCGCTTGCAAGCATCCGTCAGCCCCCAAAACCCTTGCGGTGAAGGGGGATGCGAGGGCGGCCTGCCCTAAACCAGGCCCAAAGAGCCCAAATACCTCGTAATTCCTGAACGCATCTTGGAGTTCTAGAAAAGGAATGAATTCATGTTCCGAATATCACTTAAGGTACCTTCCTTTCATCAATGCGCATTTTGCTCTCCGGCGCCTCTGCCCTCAACCCTCCCTCCCCACCCTCCCTTCCCCCTCAAAGGGACTAAAGTGGAGGGACCCTTAGAAGGGACCTTAGGGGTTAATTAGGGACTGCTTAGATATATAGGGACTTTCTCAGGTATCTATACCCCCCCTCCCCCACCCAGCCCCAGCAGCCCTGTGGGTAAGTGCCGGGCGCGGTCCAGCAGCCGAAGCTCTCGTCACACACAGAGGCTACGCTGATCCGAGACTGCTGCTTCGAGGGCCCAGGTGTGTGGGGTGATTCATCTTCAAGGGCTCAGGAGTGCAGGAGGGGGAGGGGAGGGCAGTTCACTCAACTAAGCTGAAGCCCTGGAGCAGCTTCTTTGCAAGGGGGGAGGCGGGTGCTATAGGCCCAGGAGGGATGCCGTAGAGCGAAACTCCACAAGGGTCCAGGCAACCGTCTGCGCAAGTAGCTGGGGCCCGGTGTTCAGTGCCTATGCTCCTCACGGAACGAAGCGATGATAAGCGGCGGACCCGCATTCGCCGCAAGAATTCCGCCCCTGCCAGCTCCTCATGGCCAGCATCGGAACACGGGCTTAGCACCGACTGGGGCGCGAGGCCTTTTCCGAGGTGCCTTCACTTTGGGAGCAACTTCCGGCTGGGGCCGCGCTTTTCATTTCATCAGCTCTACAAAGCCCACAATGCCAGAACAGACCTCTTAAGTCCTTGTGTTGCTAGCCGCTCTATAGGGCTTGGGGGCTCGAGAGCCACGGCTTCTCATCCGTAAGGACGGCTCCTCCACGGCGGTCGGCACGGTGGCAGTCTCCTGACGCCTGCCTGTCGGCCATGAATTTCTGGGCAGTGATAGTCGCAAGCCACCCGATCTGACTTTGCAGTTCTCGATAGGACATTGGAGAATTGAGGCGCCTTACATCCCCCCAACACCCTCACTCCCTACTCTAAACTCCTAAGCTAGCATCCCCAGCGCAAGACTCAAGACCGAGAGCTCCGCGGCCCACATTCCCCGAGGCCTTTCGCCCGTCGGGCAAGCACCTGGGCGGGGCAGACGCAGGCAAACCTCCCGAACCTGTAGGTGCGAGAGAGCTCTTCGTCTCTGGCCGGCAGCAAAGACCAGCCACGACCCAAAAAACTCCTACAGAAGTCCTCGGCCCTGAACCCAAAAAAACCTTGTCAGCAACGGACTTTAAGGCTGCCACCCCAAAAACCCTTTTGCATCCAGGCCTCGTACGGGTACTTGAAACTGAGGGCCGACCCAAAAAACCTTTTGCAACCAGGCCCTAAAACCCCTCAAAACCCCAAAAACCCCAAAACCCCCCTCCCAAAAAAAAACCCAAAAACCCCAAAAAACCCTGAAAAGAACCCGAAAAAACCCAAAACCCTTGGAGGCCCCCACCCGCCCGTGCGGCGCCCTGGGCGCCCTCTGCGCCGGAAGGAGCGGAGGGACGGCGCCGTGGGCGAAACTCCTTGTGGGAGACCGCGCATGCGAAACGGTCCACACGTTCACGCTTCTCTGGCTCTGGCATCCTGCCTGCATATGTGGTTTACCAAAAATGCCAAAACAGGGGACCCCCAATATAGATCCCTTGCCGCCTGCAAGGAGGTCCGGTGCCATGACCTCAGCGGACAAAACAGGATGAATCATAGTGGTTGCACAGAGATGCACAGAGTGTAGCTTAGAAGAAGGCTTACTCACTCGGTCCTTACCGGAAATCAGCTGGCAGAGAGGGAGGCACTGCACTCAGCATGAACAAGCACGGCAACATTACCATAACCACGTGTCTGCAAAAAACAGTCAAGCCTTTCTTGTCCAACAACTGAGGGGTTGGGCCGGCGACAGATCTCGTCATCTTGGGCCAAGCTGCCAAAGGTCCAGTGCGCGGCAGCCAGCGTGCACAGTGCTGCGCCTGTGCGCGGTTTCTTTGCGTGGAGGACCCCTAAACCCTGAACCCTACACCCTTAACCCTAAAACCCCAAAGCCTGAAGAGTCAGTAAAGGTGTTTGTGTGCGACCCTCAACACGGCAAGCAAAAGGGGTGCATCGCATGGTGCCAGCTTCCTGCGTTGTAGCACTTTGCTCACGACTTACGCGATTTCAGGGTTCTCCTGGAACAACAACTTATATGGGCATTTCCCAAAATAAGGGACCCCTGTTATACACAAAATAAAAAAGAATCCCCTTAAAGAGACCCCAGAAAAAGGGTGCCTCTATTTTCGGAAACCCCATAAATGAGGCGATATGAAGCAGGGTATTTATTACTATTCTTGGTGAGTGTATATAAGGTTCCTTTTTCATATTGGTGAGTGTATGTATTTGGTGTCCTTTTGGGGATACAAGAAATATATACCCTACTTCATATGAGCCAAAACGAAGGCTGCATTCGGGCCGGCATGGTTTCAGCCTCGTCTCAAGCCGCAGCGCGCCTCTCCACCGAAGTCGCCGCCTGCACGGGTGCGAGTGGGTGCGATGTAGGGTTTAGGGTTTAGGGTTTAGGGTTTAGGGTTTGGGGTTTGGGGTTTGGGGTTTGGGGTTTAGGGTTTCGACTCTCGGGTTTAGGGTTTTTTGTTAGGGTTTAGGGTTTAGGGTTTCGTGTGGGCACGCGCCGTTCCATGGGGAAGACTGCAGCTTCCGACGGCAACTTGAAACTGGCTTACGGGCCTTGACCTTGACCCTGTCTTTTCTGGGTTGCTGTCAACCGGGACATAAACACTAAATACTACCAGGAGGGACACAAATGCGGGGAGGGACATAGGTCAATATGACATAGGTGCTACCACAAAGAGGGGTGTCGAAGACAGCTTTTCGGTGTCCCTATCGTGGTAACTCATTTGCCCACCGCCTCGCCATGCCATCGGAAGTGGCGAAGAAAGGCTCTCTCGCGAGGTTTCGGGGCTAAGGTCTCTGGGGGTGTATGGCTTCAGGGTCGGAGGGTGGGCTGAGTAGGGTGTTTTTTTCAGGGTTTCGGGTGGGAGGGTGGGAGGGCTTTGGGGGAGGTGGGCTGTTTAGGGCCTTATAAGGGCTTAGGGTTCAGGGTTGTGCTATGTTGTAGGACTGCTTCGGCTTTGGCTGCTAGGGTACGGGTGGCCTCAACCTTCAACCTGGGACTGTTCTGCCGATGGGCGTTTGACTCTTCAGCCTAGGTCACCTCCATCCTCAGCCCTCCGCGCTGGTGTTTCAGAGGAAGCTGGTACTGTGCCTCAGCCCCTTCTGACACTCTGACTCACACCCCTGTTCCTTCCATGCATCAAGCTTGAACTGAGAAAGTTGGAACAGGTAATAAGCCGTGAATGTTGTTCACGGCTGGAAGCCTCCAGCTTGAGCCACAAAAGTGCGGCTGCGGCGAGGGCGCCTCACCGCCTGCAGGTCACTCTACTCCCCCTTAGCACCTTAAGCTCGGAAGAGGCAAGCCTAGACTCCACTTAGAACCATAATAATAAGAATAATAGTAATAATAATAATAGTAATAATAGTAGTAATAATAATAATAGTTTTTAATATCCTCTTGGGTTTCATATGAACAGAAACAAAAGGTAAGTCCCAAGCAAGATGTAGGTCGTAGGTGAGAAGCTCTGGCCCTTGGTCCCAGATCGCCCGCCATTTTCTTGCAACGAACAGCTGCGATGCAGGCCGGCGCTTTTTGCGACCGGGTTGAGGTCCGAGCTGGATGAGAACCGAACCGTCTTTCTGAACATGCGGGACCCACAGAGACGCATAACCTTCCTAAGCCTAAGCCGGATAAAATACCTGACTGGCGACATCCCTCAACCACAGACAGGCTTTGCAGGCCGTTGGCCGACTTCGTCGGAAACGGCTTCTGCAAAGCAAGCTGCGAGGACCTACTGCCTGGCACTGGTGTTTCGAGTTTCGAATCCAGCGCGGGGCTTTCAGCAGGGTGCAGGGGACCGAGCACCTCTCCAAAGAATTTACTAACTTAATATTAAAAATATATAATCGAGAATATTGAGATAGAGCCGCTCCTTATGAGTTAAGGTCTGTGGACAGAGGGTATTGGGCACTCTGGGGATGTAGTACACCCCCAAACCGGCGAAAAAATGGCGAAGCGGGGATGAGCAGACGCTGGAGGTCATCCAGCGGACGCTGAGCTGTTCTGAGCCTCAGTACTACTACTACTACTACTACTACTACTACTACTACTACTACTACTACTACTACTACTACTACTACTACTACTACTACTACTACTACTACTACTACTACTACTACTACTACTACTACTACTACTACTACTACTACTACTACTACTACTACTACTACTACTACTACTACTACTACTACTACTACTACTACTACTACTACTACTACTACTACTACTACCACAGGCCCCTGGACCCTTGAACATGAAATACATGCCTTGGCTTCCGGCATAGGGCCATAGGGTTTACCTAGGGTTCCCCAACAGTAGCAGGGAATCTCTGAGGGGCAACCCGCTAGAGGGTAGGCCGATGATACGAACTTATTGCTTAGTGTGGCATCCCTAGACTCGTAGACGGGTAATTGATGATGTCCCAGACGAAGAGCGGCCACTCAGTGACGGCCCTAAACCCCAGGGATGATGATAATATCCCCTATCATAATCCCTATGAAAGACTGTCAGTACAAGGGGGGACATCCCAAGCCCTGAACCTTCAACAACCCCCAAGTCCGGATTCACCCGGCACACCTCCCACGTCTTCTGCGACGTCAGCTTC